ATTATGGTTATTAACATGGTTAGCTATTTTCTGAATAATAATCATAATGTTAAAGGAATAGAACATGGAAACATGCATGAATTGTTATTGTGCAAAAATATATCACATAATTCTGATAGAAACTTCGTCTTCTCATTGCATTATGGAAAATTAATTGTTATTGTTGTTTCATTTTTCTTATGTATATTTTTCAATTATCATTTATCAGTTCATTTTGTATCTAATATATATGTATTTGTAATAAAGTGTATTCAGTTGATGTGTTTTCTTGTGTTTCTGACGTTCTGTCTTAGATTTTATAAATCTCATCTAAAGATAAAACTTTTGCGGGTACATACTCTACAACACCTTTGTTTTCGTCAACAATTAGTTCAGCTCAAATTTGGTGAAAATGCATTTTGTTTAAATACAGAAATATTTTGTATTGTATTTAGTCGGAATTTGTTATAACTTGTGACCTGTAAGCCGTGCTAATGTATAACGTAACGACACCGCTAATTAGTGAGCAGTGACTTATCGATCGGACCAATGACGCGTAAACTCGTATGAGCGGTCTAGAGTCCTTATTGTCCCACTTCCTGTCTAGCCCAGCCAGTTAAGTCCAGAACACCAATCCGAGCCTCTGCGATATGAATCGTGTATTTCAAACACATTCGGTTATATACCAATCAGACAGACCACATCGTACCAATAAAATACGAAACAACATTTGTACAAGAATTAGCCAGATGTGGCTGTGAATAAGGGAGGTAGTAATTAATAGAAAGGTCATAATTCAATAATAGTAGATCGTATAATAATAGTTCATAGGTCAAAATAAAGCTCATAATAAGAAGGACATGAATATGAATAGTTTAGTTATTTAACAATTATATGATGGAGCATAACAGAATTACTTAGCAAATAAAAGTTATTATGTAGATTTGATATTCATTGGCTATGTTGATCTATTACAACTTTCAAAGATGATTCCTTAAAAGTGTAAACCACTGGTGTTAATGATGACTACTATTTTGTAAGATTAGGTCAGTAGTCGCTTAATGTACTGGTTTACTGTTATTGAGTTTCAAATAGAATGAAACGCTCGTCTTAGATCCTACTATTCGTCTCGTTTCATATGTAATCGATAACATTTAGTCAGCATTAAATAATTAGTAGTTCGACAATGATTATCTTTAAACAATTATTAATAATGAGGATTGATCATTAAATGTTAATCATCTGCTTGAAAATCTTTCCTTTTCCGCACGTAATAGACCATTTTGGTGAAAATGAAACTTCTTATTGATTATAATAGGAGTATTAGTAGTAGAGTTATTAATTGTTCCTAAATAAATATAATTCTTTATTGAGTGTTAGTACAGATTTAGGCTCAAATACTCATTTAGGCTATCATTGTATTTGCATAAACAAGGTCATAATTGGCCTAGTTTTTTCAACTATTTAGTCTGAGATATGGTCATCTCCCAGATGAACGGAAACCAACTGTAGGACAAATGAAAACGAGATTAATGGTTAGTTTTTCTTGTCTAAACCGCCTTAGTGATACGTTTTATCTTCGTAACCAACGGTTAGAGACTTTGTAACGTGGGTCTGAATCATCCAATATGGCACAAATGCACTCACTCTTCACCCTCTATTAGAACCTAGGTTTCCAAATTGTCTTAGTTTTTTTACAACTTATGAACCCATATTTTCGCCTACAATCATGTTTCCTATGTTTAGTCTTTTTTACTACTTTGGGATTTAGCTTGATGACTTCATCTCGCTATGTTAATGCTGTGCGGCCACTTGAACGGAATCACATATGTACAGGGTTAAATGTTCATATGGCTGACTGATTGCACACCGAATTGTTTTATCAGTGAAAATCTAAGCGCGATGTATTAATTTTATGCCTTAACAATTCGTTAATTACTTAAGCAAATTACAGTTTTAATCAAATGAATATAATGTTAACGCTGTATTACATATAGTGAGGTTCAACCAGTTACTGCTACTAGTTAGTTGTCACTTTGATTACAGTAACGGAAATCCAGTAGTTTGATTAATCACAACATATTGAGTTCTTTATTTCAATTACGTCAGGTTAACTGCAGACAGATTATTCATGCAGAAAAGTGGAAAACATGGTATATTCAGAGATTCTTAATGATAACATGAAAAATGTCATATTGGTAATTTAATTTGTCTAGAATATAATGTCGATCCGATTGGTAACTGAGTTGACTACAAATCAAGATGACTCACTAGAATTCCATAAAATCCATTTTGATTTTAGTCACTAGTAAGCACATAATTATTGGTAAGTGATTTTTAGAAGTTTCTTATTTTTCAATTTCAATCATATGACTCGGTGAGTCATTATCAGTTGTTACTATTATAATTGACAATTTATTATTTATTTATTTAAACACAAACATTAGTACAAGGAGGCACCAAATACATATGGGCCACATAAATCATTCGGTTTGTGTGAGGGATGCGATACTGCCCGGGTGCCCAGACTGAAGCAGGTGGTTTTCTTAGGGGACCACACCCGAGCCTTTGACCTAAAGGTCTGACCCATAAGGCAGTGGAGCATCGTGAGGAGATGCAGTCCCATGGTAGCCGGTGACCAACCATTGGTTCATACGCCATTTGTTCCCGCAGGATACTGGAGCCCATGTGCACCATTGTTTTGGAATCCGGTTAGAGCGCCGGAAATTCGCTTTTCGTCCTCTCAATTTCGTAACCAACAGCCCCGCCACGAGAAGGCAGTGAGTAGGACTTCCCTGGCAGGGGCTGTATACACGTGGCCGTGTGTGAGCATTTCGAGAGGGAGGACGGGCCCACCCCACTCTCGGCCATACCAGGGCATTTGGGGGCACAACTGACAATTGATAATAATTTATACTGTGTTTATATGAGGCGGAACTGATGTGAATAATACGAACGTAGTAAGAAATCACAGTAATGTACCACATGAATTTTGAATGAGACAGATACAATAAACCAAGTTAATTCTTATTCATTTAAAAGTTCATCTTTTTTAACCAATCAAACACCATCTAATCATACTCAATATAGATTACTTATTATATTGATCTGCATATTTAATTAAGTTTACGGTTTATTAAAAGTAAGTGCTAAAGTAACACACGTTGGTATTTGGTTCAATTAACTTCCACCATTTTGTTTTTAAACTATTAATCATTATTTATAAAATCTTTCAGATAAATAATTAACATGCTAATGGTGTATGATATTTAGTGTTATTCAAGGACAGTTCAGTATTCAAAATATACAATTGAGCTCTGTTATGTATCAGCTTTATTTAGATTAACTGTTTTCTCTAATATATATATATATATATATATATATATACATATCAAGAATATCCTTTTGATTAATGTCGGAAGGATTTTTGTGGTATTATAGTAATTTTAATAGTTGAGATCATGAGTCAATTGAAGTTAGACTATCATGGAAAACCTGGAAGTGCTGGACAACCGTTTCGTCCTATTGTTGGACTCCTCAGCAGTGCGCATCCACGATCCCGCCTCGCGAGATTCGAACACAGGACCTATCAGTCTCTCGCGCGAGCGCTTAACCTCTAGACCACTGAGCTGGCCGGCATCCAACGGTGTTAATGTCTAACTTCAACTAATCCACGAAATTGAGCCACACATCCACCATTGGATGCCGGCCAGCTCAGTAGTCTAGAGGTTAATCGCTCGAGTGCGAGACTGATAGGTCCTGAGTTCGAATCTTGCGAGGCGGGATCGTAGATGAGCACTGCTGAGGAGTCCCATACTAGGATGAAACGGCAGTCCAGTACTTCCAGGGTGGTGTAGCTTCAATTGACTCATGATCTCAACCACTGAAATATTCTTTTGAGTTAATTTTGAACTTATGTGAATAAAAGTAGAGGGTATAGAATTGTCCACTGCCTAGTTGAGGTCCGCGCAATCATTGTAACCCATGATTAAATACATTGGGTGAAATGGCTTAGAATCTGCAGCAATTGCGTTGATGGATTCTATCTTTGTCTAAATATACGTATACTTCCTATTCATCAAACTCATCCCTTCTATATTCATGCCTAATCTTTTCTACTACTAATCTCAGATTGACAAAAATAATTTTATTTCGATTTGGTGTTATAATGTAGTATTTTGAGTCGATGCATATATAAGCAAGGTTTTACATCGCTCATGACTCACTACTATAAACTGTTTCAAGACATGCCTTTCTGAAGTGAACCACATATATTCGATGCAACATGAAATTGTCGAATTTTAAGAACATAGTATCGTATTTACGTCGAGCTATTTCTCAGTATTCTACATATTCGGAATTGATGAATTATTCTGCAGACCGGACATCGACTTTCTTACTTCGAGTATGAGCAGCTCCACAGTATTTACGAGATTTGTCACTGATATTCTTGATACAAAACAATGAATTATACCCGAGGAAGACATAATCAACATATTTCCCAACTTGGAAAGAAATTCGATGAAGCGTAAACTATCTCTAACATCTCATGAACATCGGCATCAGACCTGTAGGTGTGCAGATCAGTAATTTGAGATCCTACTAATTTGAATCACATCTAAAATACATATCAATCAAAACCCTTCTACTAGTATCTCGCTCCAGTCAACATTAAATTTTGAGAAAACCAGTGCGCAAGAAGGCGCAATCGCATTAACTAACTGATATTCCCCTAGTGGTTTCCTCCCCAGAGACGAGTTAAACTTTCAACAGCCTAATCACAAATCTCAATTTTTTGAGCTAAGATATCGAAAATGATTGACTTGATGAATGAGGAATTTATTGACTATCAATGCTTTTCGTATCTATCCTAAAATATGACATGAAAACTAAATTTCGAAATCGAACGATGACATCAAAACTTTGACTTATTGAAGGCGACAAAAGTACTTGTGTTCACATTAAAAGGTAATCTGTAAAATAACCTAAGGTTATGTAATTCATTTAAAAGAAAAGCTTTTATGCATTCAAAGATATATTTCTTGGTGCTTTGCGTTAAGGCACAAATAGTAGCAAGCAATGAGTAGAGTAGAAATGGAATGTAAAAAAAAGAAATACAACAGATTAGCAAAAATGAATGTATACGTGTGTATATATTTTGAAAAGTTAGAAAGTGTCATGAGTATAAAATTCAATTTGCTATCAACTATATAAAAGATCAGTTGATAATAAAATTATGTTTGGTTTGTTTGACCTTCTTCTTCTTCTTGACCATGCATAATCATTCGTGTAAATTCTTTATAATCGAAATTCCCATCTTGAATCGGTGCACCATGGAATAATTCATCAACTTTCTCATTAGACCATCTATCCCCCATTGTAGTCATTAATTCACGTAAACGTTTTCTCACTTATTACACCTATAAATAAATAGAATAAATACATAGCTAGCATTTAAGTGGTAATGATAGTCGAGAAAAAGCATTACTATGATTTTCGACAAGCATGGAACTTGATTTTGCACAAGTTACTATTAGTTGGCTCATGGCATCAAATGTAGTTCAATATGATGTAATAATCAACTAATTTACCGGTAATTGAGTATGAGCCACAAGTCCTTTGCAATCTGACTGAGAATTTTTTTATTTCATTAAAATCACTGAATAATTCTTAATCATACCTTTACTCTGCATGAGTGGTTTGTACTTTTATTTTGTAAAGGATGTGTGAGGTAAAAAAATATCAAATAATTAACACGCGCAGACTAATTTATTTTCAGTTTGCTGCTATTAATTTGCTCTTATTAAAAAGGATAATGAATATCTTTTGCATAAATTACGAGGAATTGATAAAAATAGGATATCCGCATGTGAAAAGCTTCAGTAACAAACATCTAGTTCGATGGATTAAATAATGGGATTCAGTTGTATCATCACAGGTCAGGATATGTAACATTTAAGCAACGTTCCTGAATGTTGTTCATTACTGAGACAATCTTAGAATATACCTCATAGCAAGTGATCCTAATATATCACAAATGAGCACGGAAGAAAAACCGTTACTGAGTCGACAGACTAGTTATTCGAACTGAAACATAAACGAAATTTGAACCAATGAACCGTATATCTAGAGTAATAACCGAAACTTTGAAAAGCTAACACAGAAGAACCGAACACTTTAGTTGTTTAGACGGATCCCATTGAAAGTTGACTGAAGATTTGTGGTCGATAAATTAATCATTTACACGTAAGTACTTTTACGAATAGTGTTGAAATCAACAATGTGTTGCAAAATAACACATGAAGATGATGTCTAAATTTGGAAGGGAATTCGAGTTTTCGTTATAAATAAGATTTCTTGTGGTCGGTTTTATGTCCCACCTACATAGAGACAGGCCAGATTCCAACAATACTTTCATACTGTTTTACTTGTAGCAATGTGACTTATTCTAAATCTGGACAGACGAACTAATCTAAGGTTCTTATATCATTATATACACACATTCACCTTTATTAGTTATTCACATATAACCTTCGGCGTTTTTATGTATGTCTGTTTGCTCTATTCGTTATCTGTTTACAACTTGTATTTATATGTTTCTACAGATATTCAATGACATTTTCTAAAGCTGAGTAAAGTGGAAAGCCTTTCTATGTACTATCTCTTACGGCCAACATGCAAAACGTTTGTACGAAATATACCGATCCAAAATAAAAGTATTAAGCCTTTTGATATACAGCCAAACCAAAACATGGCACAAGTCCATGAAGTCACTGACAAGTGGACTGAGTCATGTTGGCAGGTGTAGACTACCTGGTTGGGGACCGCGAGATGATAGCAACCAATGCTTAGAGACCCTGAATGACATGGCTCAGAATCGTTTGCAATGGCGCAGGTGCATACACTCTTTGTGTTCTCCCAAATTCTAATCTCCCGATTCCTCCTTGTCTCTTTTTTTCTCTTTCCCAACTTATTTCACTGGATTATACTCTTTAAATAACATCTCCAAACCCTAACCTTTCAGATTGCTTATACTCTTACTACCTCTACCACTAAGGGATTTGAATCGACAACTGCATCTCTGTGCTAATGTGTTGTGGCAACTCGAACTGACGTACGTACGTACGAAGTCCTACGTTGTTACTGACTGACTGATATGCCGCCATTTTAAACGTGTTAATTAGACAGAATATAAACGAAGACAGGTAAGATGTATATATTTCACTAACAGCATTATCATCTAACCATGCTAAATTCAAACCGACATTGAACATACTATATATGATTGTGAACAGAACATATGCACTTGGGAGCTTTTGAACCATATCAACTTTTTGCACAATGCATTAAAGAGGACTATATAAAGAAGATTTATTAGAAGTATCCCACTGAAATGAAGTGATAGTTTTCTCATGTAATGACAAAAAACATGAAACAAAGGGGTACATATTAGGTCATTACACATACCTGTCCCCTCAGGATCAAAACAAGCAAAAGCATTTAAAATCGTTTCTTCCGGATCACACCCCATCATTTTCTCACCAAATAATGTTAAAAACATTGTGAAATTTATTTGACCGGGTGCTTGTGAAAGCATATCGTTTAAGTACTCGTCGTTTGGCGATTTTCCCAAGGAGATGAAAATATCTTCTAAGTCATGCTTATCAATGACACCATCTTTAGTTGAATCAATCATTAGGAACGCTTCCTGTTTAAAAGATTGAAACGATGGACGATATTACAATAAGTGATACAAACAGTAGTTCAAAAGCTTCTAAAGAACTTTTGTAGTTATATACCGACAGAAATATCTTTAAACTTTTGTAAGCGACAACCATGTGGAACCTTTGGTATTGGTTTGGAGTACTATGGTTAAGCTGTCGTAGTCCTCTTTAATCTAACATCAGTCCATGAAGTTATCGACAGTTGGGCTGGCCTGTATAGAGATGTGGTTTTTGATAGCAGTAATTTACGGTTAAGGACTTTTAATGACATGGCTGAAAAGTCGTAGTAGTGATGATGATACATACGATATTATTCTTGCTTTAAATTATGTCCCAATATCGTCTTTTCTTTAAGAGATTTTATTTTATTCCTGTAGAACTACACTTCCTTTGTTTAGATCTCCCCACAATCAGCTAAATAAATTCCTCTCTACTTACACAAAGTATGGAAGCTAACGCCGAGGTACATTTGTGTAGAATCGTAATCTGCTAACAGTCTCTGTTAGAGAAACTCAAATCAAAGCACGAACTCCCAGTAGACTTTTCAAAAATATCTCTTCAGCTTGAATAAGGAGTTATCCTACCTAATAACAAATCCAAATGATCAAAAATAGAGCTGTAATAGTCTGCAATAAACACTACTATGTATTTGGACAGTTTAACTAAAGGTAAGACAAAAGTTGCCATGGTCAAATTCGCAGACTTTGGAAAAATGTTGTCTACACTTTACGTCTCACATCTTATGGACTATAAAAATGTATTTGTTCAAAACTCAGCAGACTGGTAGGGATTTACAGAAACAACTTATAAAGACCCTGAATCTGGGAACGTACTATTTATAAACCTTCGATGACATATCTTTATTCCTTCTGGCTGGGAGATAAGAAAAGATTATTGCGGAGATTCATGAATGAACAACATAGTTTTTAATCGCGGGCTTTTACATGCGAGAGATGAAAGCCGCATATCCGTATGTGTTTTCAAAAGTAGACTCTGTTGCAAACAAATATATCAAACTTAGTTCCAGTCAAATAATTGTAACAGTGACCTATTGACATAACAGAGGTTTACGATATAAGCCTGTGCCTGATTTTTACCGACAAAATGAGTAATTTTCTAAGTTCGGGAAAATACAATATGACATATTGAATATTACTTTTAAGAAAGTTATAAGCCTACCTTGAATTCGCTGATTTGAGCTTCATTAAACATGGAAAAAACATTCGAAGTGAACCGCTGAGTGCGAGTACGAGCTCTACGCTTAGTTTTCGTACAGGCCATCTTGTTTGTTTGAAACACCGCTTGTGTTAGGCAACCAAAGGAACCGCCTGGATATTTTCACTATTTAAAAGCCAGTAGCCAACGTCCAACTTGAATAAAACTGGTCATGAAAATAATAAGATATATTTGGGACGGATTGGCGTTGGAATTTATCGAAGAAAAGTTGGTACATAATTTTATGTCACTGTGATGTTTATAATATATATTTAACAAGAAGATTTATTGTGTTCGAGGTTAATGGGGATAGTCAGTAAACTAGATGCTTTAAAATTTTCGTATGACCGAATCATCGTTTGGACCGAGTCTTAGAAAATCCCGCAGTCGATTGACTTTCTGTCGAGCTTCCTCAATGTTATTTATTACCTATATTGAACTGACATACTGATATGGTGAAGTAAGCGTGTTCTGTCGATAAAATTGGGTCGAAGTTACTGCCTAATATTGTTTTAGGTGACTCGACCACGAAGCGTATTGGTGTTTATTTAAACCTTCAATTAAATTCTTATCATAAAGTGTAAACACTTTGGCTCAAGACTTTCAGTATTTTGTGCAGGGGTATTTGAAACCTGAAATTTTATTCGTCGTCAGGATAATTTTTGACTTAAAAATTGCTATATAGATGCTTTAGTGGCTGTACATCTGACTGCAATTAAATCCTATGTTGATTGTTATTGATGTTTCGGACCTACTTTGAATGCTTCATATTGATGACAGAGTATTTTCGTTGTGTTTCAAGATCCATTATCGTTTATTCGTTTGGAAGAAAGCACATTGGCCGTTAATCCGCTAGTTCAAGCAAATGCCCAAATTATGTAGCGCTTATCATAGTGGTCGAAACATGGAATGAATAACACTTAAAATTCCATTTATCATCAATATTTGTGACTGGTAGATATAAGGGTCAATGGTCATACTATCTATAAACTTTCAGTTAATAAATGAATGAGTTGTTTCATGACAAATATTGGTTAGAGGTATTTCGAAAAGTATTTATTATCAAAACAGGTTAGGGTCTCACTTTGGCGTTAGTTTGCGTATACATCCACCTAGATTGATACACTTATTGTAATACTGTACATTTGTTATGATGTAGCGGTTCAATCCATATGATCATACACGAAGTTCTATCACTATCCATTCCGAATTCGCCTGTCGTGTGAGTAGAGATACTACTTTTTGAGATCATTTGAGGGATGGGCACAATCTTTTCTCCGGAATAATTTTTATATAAATACAAAAATTATGTTTGTGGTGACCAAGCTGAGATATTCCGTCTCAGTCACTTTTCCTTATTGGCATCTAAAGCATCACCAATTTTTATGCATTCTTATGTATCTTGGGTTCTATCACCTATGGCAGAAGTGGTTCAAAGTGATGGATAATTTGTGCTAAGAGCTAAGTGTTATTGTTCAGTCCGTAAAAGCTCGAATATACACTTTTTATGCGTCATACACGTTCGTTGGTGTGAGCAATCATTATGGATGCTGTCTTAAGTAGAAATTGATAGGTTAATTAACGAGCAAGTGTCTGAAAAAACCAAACTTACTTCATTTAAACGTTGTATGGCCTCAGTAAAATGGATGCGTAATATGGATTCATTGTCTCTTGACGTAGCTTGAGAGCCGATAAGTGACCATAAAGCTTGTACTGTTTATTTCAGATGTCAGTCACCACTGACCTTTGTATCGGCCCCATGAGCTCTATCCTTACTCCGTGTTGCAAACCTGCTGAGAACGAGATGAGTGGCTATTCACAGGACAGATTTTAAAAAATTTCTTTATGTGCTTGTAGGTTATACTACCATAGACAGCGTTTGTAATGACTTTTGTCCATGTAAATGAACATGTGGCAATATCTCCGGTCAAAATATCGAATTCTATGGTGTTATCTCTGTTATGAACCAACGACTCGTCGACCGGTAGTGACAGCCTCTAATGAACTGCGGATCATTGTCAATTGACAGTACATTAGGTTCTCACCCAGCCCTGAACGTTGAGTCCATGACACAATATCCACCTCTACTGAGTGAATAGGAATTTTTAAACATATGTCTTATACACAAACAGAACGGGCCAGATTACACGATGTAACGAAAAATAACAACTAAAAATACCAAGTCAAAAGTCTCTGAGCGCATAAGAGACTGCAATTAGGAGTAGTAAGTGTTATATTAGTGGGTATAAAACAAATGAAAGCTTATAATAAAAGGAATACAAATGTATCTACCCTAGTTATTTAATGATTGTACAATAAGGATATATGTGATAGAGTTCTAAATATGTCGCTAGTATTCAGAATCTGATAGCGCCTTAAATAGTAGTGCTTTCATAATCGACGTATATCAACTCAGTCAAATCATAAGTCAAGAATGAAGAAGTTCGAAGATATATATCGGTATGTGGAAGGGACGTTTGGTCTAAGAGTAACTGTAAAATCCAAACTACGGTTTGGATAGAGGGATAGCCGTCCCGTCGAAATCAAAACAAGTAATCGGGTAAATAGCACTTCTATAATTCATCATAAACTTAAATGTAAATCGTTACCTTGTAGCGTGGCGTCGAGTTGAGGTTAACTATGAACACCGCTACAAAGAAACACGTGCCAAGTTAATCAGAAGGCGAAGGTTGGACGTAACCAAATAGATCCATAAAATCTCCGAGAAGCCAAATATCAGAAGGCAATTAATGGACCAAGTCGAGGTGTATATTTGCTGGCGATCTCGTGGCATCGAAAGGATACCGAGATCGTGCCAGGATACAACCTTGGTTACAGAAGGTAACCGAATTCGCGCGAAGTTACAATCGAAGTGTAAGTAAAAGAATGGAAGCACAAAATAGCTGTCATTAGCACAGTCAAACAAAAGCACGTTAAAACAAACACTGGTACAGTTGGTTATAATAATAATTGTTTTTATTAAACCAGTCGTGTTCTCGTGATAAATGTGAGTCACTACAACCTAAACAAATATTACCACCCGGCTATTCAACCAATAATTGTTCAATCAATAAAATCTAAATTACGATAAATAAAGTAGTTGATGAAAGATGAGGGAAAATACCAGTCACAACAAATGAACGCTATTCTATCCTGACTGAATAGAACACACAAAAGGAGGAGCAAATCAATATGGCTACCGCCAAGAACAAGTGTCCAGTAAACAACGCAGATGCAGTTCGGAAAGAAACACAAAATTACTGAATGCGTAAGAAAAACAAAAACTATAATAAAAAATACAAGTATTAACAATTCAAATGTAATCAAAAGACAACAATGTACAACTAAGGGGATCAATAGGAACAAAGTGCAAGTATATACATGGAGGGATTTTCACCAACACACAAAACATTCAAAATGGATCTTACAGTAACCGAGCGCATTCGGCTAGATTAGTCCAATCAAACTAATGCGGTCAGTATCAAATGACTAAGGCTTACAGAGCTATTGATTTTGAGGATTTATTTACCGCTATAGGTCTATAAATATTTTCGAGAAACAACCATTCGTTTAGTCTTCTCTGGAAACGTCAATGTCTTCTTGATAATGAATTTCTCCTAAGAATTGTGTGAACTTAGCAGTAACGCTCTTCCTTTGAACCTTAATATTCTTCTTGAAGATTCATTTCTCATCGAGCGGAATTGGATATTCGTGACAGAACCAGTGTTCTGGGATACTTTATGTCTCAGGCCCCTGAGTTCGATTCAAGATCATGTTAGTCATCAGCATTAAGTACTTTTCTATGAGAGTTATATTTCTCCACCCAAAATAATGTGTGATGATGTTCCATTTTGGCACTGGTGATAACGAGGTACAATATTTAAAACTAGTTATCCATATACCTTACAAGTGTGAGATGTGCACTTTCAAAATTTTGATAGCCAGTTCATGAATTAAGGGAATCGTTAATATATCATATAACCAAAAGTATGAAGTGACAAAAGAGACCTTATTTTGTTGTTCAAAAGTTCACTTCCGTATTATTGTTGGGATGAAGTATAAACCCGAAAACTGCAGAATATGCTCTACCCATATGACGACTGACTAAATTTATTCATTTGAAAGCAGACTCTGATTTATGTCTGCACTAGTCAGGACTAGATTCGAAATTGTCAGCGCAAAGGGCTGGAATACGAGAAGGCACAGGTCAATGAAATCGAGCTTTATGAAAGAGAAATTGCATCCGGCTGATTATGAAGGGGAGAGGAGTAAGAGGTTAGCGGAATTAGGTTTTGTGTAGTCCAATTGAATATTGAGTGCGTTTGCCAGTGACAGAAAATATGTGTATGCTAAACTGAATCATGGTCAGTTAATTGTTGTGGAGGTGTGCTTGCATTTTAAGCGAATCATTATATGTTTGTTTCAGATTTAGTCGGTTTTTCGAGTTTATAGTAGTCCTATTATGTATAGTTGTAGCGAAATGCGTTGCAACAAGGGAGCTAGTTTTCTGAGTGATCATGATTACGTCTCAAGAAAAAGGAAAGCGGACAATGGCAAGTGCCGCGGTTGGAACACTGCCGTCCTTGTAGAGAACGAAATACAGTGTATTTAACTATCCATGAGTGCCAAACTAGAACTGGTGAACGAACAATAGCATAGGAACCTGTTCATTTAACAATGACATGAAGTTCATTCACAGAAGAGTTCACAAGCGTATCGATACTAGAACCTTTAATCAATTGTTGAGAATAATAAATGTTTCTAACAAACGGTACTCGTAACTCGATTCAAGGACAGAATGATTTAAACCATTCGATCCAAACAAGTAGAATCAAAGAGAGGTGAGTCAGTAAAGCACCTAAAAACACTACAGGTGAGGGTGAATAAGATCTCTGTGAACAAGGAAAAGCAAAATTAGAAGCAATGAGAACACGAGGGTTTTTTTTACTTAAAAAGAGACTGCAAGTAGATTCAACTTCTGTTCATGTATTTATCACCCTATCGATATACTAGAGTTACCCATTCTTTCTGTGAATAAAATATCTTATCACGATGATCCCACATTGACCCTGAATCCTTTTCTGGTTATGTTCAATGATTTTTAGTTTTCATTAATATGAACGTTTATTGTTGAGTCCAAGAACCGGTCATATTTAGTTAAATCTTTTGGCTCTTTTTTAGTCTATGTATTTATGGTGCTTGTATGAACTAATGATTCCTTTGTACTTGGTGTTTGGCTGATTTCGGATTCTAAATATAATACGTTCAGTCGCGCTAATCTAGTTCTGTTTGGTTTAAATTGCGCTATTCCGGGGATTCTCAGTTCGTATAATAATTCAAATACTTCTGACCATCACAGTTTTGCTCATTCCAAAATTTAATTGCCAGTTCCTTAGTTGATGCCCAAATATTTTAGCAGAATATACTTATTTAACGTCAGTATAATCATATTATTGTTCGGACATGTTTCATTATCATTGTTATATTAACGAATGCATGCAGTTATAATATCCATTATTAAGTGGACGAGTTTATTGGTATGATAATTAATAGATGTCATATCTCGTATAGTTTTGGTTTAATTTACTGCTTTTTAAATTCATTTTAATAAAGGTCAAATTTGTTTGCTAAGATCTTTCTCTCCTTGGCGTTACTGTGTTTACAAATACAAAGCTTCCATGTAATCTTATGCCAATTGTCCATACATTTGTTTTATGTTTTGGGACAATTTATGTGAATATAAGGATTGCCAGCTAAATCATTTGCGGTACATCATTTTATATTTGAACAGTATTTCACCGACATAATTTTTGATTTTCATTATTGGCCTCTGAAAATATTTAAAATTTGGTTTTCCAAGTAATATTTAAGTAGCTTTGTTTAGAGAAATAATAGGTAATAAGTTCATTTCATCACAGCAACATTATTCCTTAACAACATATACTATTAAAACATGTGGATAGTTAAGGATCATTGTTATCAATAAACAATCAACTGAACAAAGAACAACGATGTATGATTTCATGATTCGAAGTAATGAGAGGTCAGGATATGTAACATTTAAGCGACGTTCCTGAATGTTGTTCATTACTGAGACAATCTTAGAATATACCTCATAGCAAGTGATCCTAATATATCACAAATGAGCACGGAAGAAAAACCGTTACTGAGTCGACAGACTAGTTATTCGAACTGAAACATAAACGAAATTTGAACCAATGAACCGTATATCTAGAGTAATAACCGAAGCTTTGAAAAGCTAACACAGAAGAACCGAACACTTTAGTTGTTTAGACGGATCCCATTGAAAGTTGACTGAAGATTTGTGGTCGATAAATTAATCATTTACACGTAAGTACTTTTACGAATAGTGTTGAAATCAACAATGTGTTGCAAAATAACACATGAAGATGATGTCTAAATTTGGAAGGGAATTCGAGTTTTCGTTATAAATAAGATTTCTTGTGGTCGGTTTTATGTCCCACCTACATAGAGACAGGCCAGATTCCAACAATACTTTCATACTGTTTTACTTGTAGCAATGTGACTTATTCTAAATCTGGACAGACGAACTAATCTAAGGTTCTTATATCATTATATACACACATTCACCCTTATTAGTTATTCACACATAACAAATAACGCATGAAAAGGATGTCTGAATTTAGAAAGGAATTCGAGTTTTCGTTATAAATAAGGTTTTCTTGTGGTCGGTTTCATATCCCACTTATCACTGTTATCAATGAACAATTAACTGAACAAAGAATAACGATGTTTTATTTTCATTTATATATATATATATATAATTCATAAAATGTATCCGAATTACATTTCTAGATGCATGTGAACACAAACAATTACATTTTTTTGATTGAATCAAGCAAACTGAACTCTGTATGTGTGTGTGTGTAAGGGAGATGCACAGATAGAGATAAAAAAAGAGAGAGAGAAAGAGAAAGTAATCAATTTACCTTAATGTATATAATTTTGTCCATAATTCAGCTAAGCATACAGTTGAATGAAAACGAAAAAATATAATTAATGGTATAAAACAATATGTAATCACAGACCATGTACGTACACCAAAATATTGTCTATATAATGGTAATTGTGTTTCAGCACTTCTTACTTCAAATGTATTAATTAACCATAATGCTAAATTACATATTAATAAAAAGACAATAATTGAACGACCTGGTTTTATTCTTGATTGATTAATACAACATACTTTACGTCTTGATGTTTCAACAATAAAAAAAAATTGTATTAATGCTTGACATATTTCTAATGTACATTTAATAATATATAATATAGCTGTATATTTTATATGATCATTTGTTAAATATAAAATATAATAATCTTTAATATCATTTGAATGAAATAACATAATATGAATGATTGTTTCTAAAGCTGGTATAAATAAGAACATATGATATATAATACAACCAATTAAACCAATAGTTAATAAATTATATTCAAAATTTTCACCATGTTTTAAACGATGAAATTTTAATTGATTTGTTTGTTTAATTGCTATAATACATGCTAATAAACTAATTGTTGATAAAGTTAATTTAGATTTTTGATAAATATATGCAGCAAATTGTTTATAACCATTACGTCCACGTATTATAAATAATACCATACATACAATACTACCTATTAATAACATAATACCTAAAAATAAACCAGTATGAGAACGATGACATTGATGTTCTGTATTAAATTTTATTGATTTTTCATGTTCATTATCATTATTATCAGATATTTCTTTATTGTCTTCAACTGATTAAAAAGATATTGAATTGTAGTATTCATAAGTAGTTCAATTGTGAAGTAAATATAAATAAAAGTTGATTAAAACAAAAATAATAAATAAGTGAGATATATTGATTAAAGTAGAAAGTTTATATGATATAATATCATAAAGTTAAGTAACAAACTTATGTTATCTAAAAGACAACAGAGTTTAATGAACGATAGGGCTTTCTTTGTTGTTGTTGTTGAGTTAAGACATCTTAGCAATATGTGTAAATATGATCGAACCGAAGCTTTTCAGGTCTTATGGTGATTGTAATAAATTGGAATCACTTATAACTCAGTGATTCAAATTTGGGAAGAGTTTTGTGGAGATTTTAGTAATTTCAATAGTTGAAATCATAAGTCGATTGAGGCTAAACCACCATGGAAAACCTGAAAGCATTAGACGGATGTTTCATCCTAGTATGAGACTCTTCAGCAATAAGCATCTACGATCCCGTCCCCCGCGATATTCGAACCCAAGATCTATCAGTCTCGTGCGCGAACGCTTAACCTCTAGACCACTGAACTGGTCGGCATCCAACGTTGTTATTGTCTAACTTCAACCAATTCACGAAATTGCGCCCCCATCCATCATTGTCTTAAGTGAGTTTCTATCTCACAACAGATAGGCTTGAACTCATATTTGATTCAATTTCTTAATATTGTGAACAGTGATATCTGTCTCAATTATGATATGGTCAATAAATGTAGATTAATTATTCTACATACAATATAAAAGTATTTTAAGCATTAAATTAAACTATCTATTATGTTTTTTGAATAAATCTGTTGAACATAACATATAAAGACAGTTTTTATGATTTTTTAAAATCAAGATAAAAAAAGAAGTTCCCTTTTTAAACATAAGTACTGACTAGCCTGAATTGTCGATGAACTACGATTTTGATGATTGGAATATGCTAAAAAGGTTGAGTGTATTGCAATAATGATTTCTGATTAATGTTGACTGGCATGAGACCCATTATTAAAGCTACTTACTTATTACTTCAAACCAAATCAACTCGAAACTACCTGAAATTAGCTGCTATACGGTACTTGTATTTTAGTTCATTGATAAAACTCAGATTCTTACACTTGGCTTTGAGCCACACTTCATGTATGAGGGTTAGTGATACCTATCGTGTTGTCTAAATCAAATTAAGAGAGATTGGACTTAAATCTGGGATCTGGTATTTGAAACTCAAACGCTTTGATCATTAAACTTCTGCACTAACATCTGCACATATGAAATACAAGTTACGGTAGATATTTTTCATGTAAAACTCACTCTTGTTATTTATAGTAATGTTATGTGATACGGAGTAAACAATTAAAATCCAGAAAGTTGATGTATTCCTAACTTCGTATCACAGCTAGATGAGTATGTCACCTCCTTCCTTAATGTGTTAGTGTACGATCATATTGAGGCTAAATACTCATATCCATTAATTCAAGTATTAGAGTTTTGTGCACTAGATTAGTGAGTTGCATCAGTTATGTAATGTTTATCAGATGTTAGTAATTATTCAAGTCTGTAATTGGGATATGTAATATGGATTGCATTCATTACTCCATTGATATTAGAAGTATCCACAATGGTTAATAATAATAATAATAATAATAATAATAATAATAATAATAATGGAATTCAATATTTTCAGAACCCTTCAAAGAGTCAATGTTTTGAAATAAGCTGATGAATTTAGCGGCGAGACTATAATTTATGGACGAACAAATCAGATTTACGATAACAGGTTTCGAATTTTGGCGCAAAATTAATTCATCTATTTGGCTAAATAGAGTTTTGGCATAATAGCTGATGTCAGTTCGTGATGAAAACCTAAAATCTAACTCCCAACCTTAACTATCAACTGTAAATATTAGTCTCAATTCCTCACACTGGCTAACAACCCTGATTTGGCCGTAGCAGGTACGTGGACATTCTCAAATACTTTTTTGTGTCGCTCAATGGTCTTCCATAAATTATAGTCTCACCAATTTAGCTTTAAGAATCAACAAAGGAAAATTTCGAATCCCATGGATAAACTTAATCAAACAGTTTTCTGTTGAATTGAAGCTAGACCACCATTGAAAACCTGCAAGCATTGGACGGATGTTTCATCTTAGTATAAGACTCTTCAGCAGTGTGCATCCACGATCTCTCTCCCCGCGTTTTCCCCCAGGTTTCCATGGTGGTCTAGTTTCAATTGACTCATTATTTTAACTATCGAAATTACTCAAATCTCCACAAAATCCCTTCTAATATTAATCATCTGCTCATTAGTAACTGACTTCAAGTGGCATATCCTGGAGTTCTAGTGAGAAGCCATGACCAGTGAAGTTCAACCGGGTCTGTTGTGAGATGGTAACTCAATGGTGTACGGTGTCGCAATTTCGTGGATTATTTGAAGTTAGACATTAGCACCGTTTGACGCCTACCGGCTCAGTGATCTAATGGTTAAGCGCTCGCACGCAAGACTGATAGGTCCTTGGTTCAAATCTCGTGGGGGGTGGGAGCATGGATGCGCACTGCTGAGGAGTACCATACTAGGAAAAAACGGCTGTCTAGTGCTTGCAGGTTTTCCATGGTGATCTGGCTTCAATTGACTCATGATTTCAACTACTGAAATATTTTAGTTAGTAAAATTTCAAATTTTACGGCTCCTTTTTAATTTTTACTCAAGTTTTTATTTATGCCACAACAAAATTCCAAATCTACATTATTTTCATGTATAATTAGATGTTAATTTATATGTTGTGAAAATTCATTTCAATCAAATGCCTATTCCAAGGCAGCTTGCCCGAATATCTGGGCCAGCTGTTCCTGACATCTAGATATTTCAACAAGATATCTGTTTTCTTGTTTGTTTTAACAGATCATCATGAAACCCAAAACCATCAAATCTTAGGTTAATAATACAAGTAAATTGAAATTTGAGTGGTAGGTAAGGACGGCTAAGCATATGTTAGGAGCTTTGTTGTCAGTCCATTAAATACATAGATTACTGCTATTTGTGTTTATAGATACTGTAAAAACCTTTTGGAGAAAAAAAATGTTACTTACCTATAGGTGCTGTGTAATCTTCATTTAATATTGGTAATTTATTCTTTTTCAATAATGGAAGAAATACTTTACATCCCATTACTGGTCTATATGACATGTGTTTTGTACATTCTGGATGATATTGTTGTTGTTGTTCTGAAATATCATCAAAGAATTTATCAAATTCACTTTTATTTATACTATTAGAGATTGATGTCGGTGATGGACTAAATAAACTTGATGAATTCAACGCAAGACAATCACTATCATTTGATGTACGATTAAATGATTTTGGAAATGTTTGATCTAAACGTTGTAACATTTTATAAAAGAATGATCCAGTTATTAAACTATATTCAATAGCTAATGGAAATAAAAATGGATCAAGTGTAACACCCAAATAACCAAGGCATAGTTTAGAGATATTATTATTGTTATGTTGATTTATTGTTCCGGCCAATGTATCACCTTTGGTATAGTGATCTAAATGTATAATATATTGCAAAAAAAGAAAAGATATAAAACGTCATTTAGCTTATTTTTAAAATCATTGAAAAGTGAGAAAAATAGGAAATCAGGCTATTTTATACATAATTGATCTCTCCCTCATAAGACTAAAGCAAGAAAACGTGTCGATTACCGAAGAATAAGACATCTAACACTACATGTTCCTCAGGATTGTTGAATTTAGTAACAGTGTCACCACAAAAAAGTAACCTATGTCAAATGGTTTCTTACTTCTCCCTACAACATGGCAGTACATATAAAACACAATATAGCAATTAATACACTAATCTATGTGATTTGTTATAACTATTGAACAAACAATATTCTATTTACATGTAACCTTGGTCATGTTTTACAAAATGTACAATTTTTAGTACGTATATATCTATCCACTTTCTGTCACTTTGTAATTCTCTGAGTCATACTACCGAACTCCAAGCCTTTATAAGATGACTGAATCTTTTACCTGAAATGTAAATATCCTAAATACAATTCGTATTTGAATTTTATTATTTTACATTATATCAATGTGATGTGTTGGTAGAAAGTATACTGATAAAACAGGATCTGTATTTCATTGACAACATTGTTGTTCAATCTTACTGGAGTTGGATAACGAACGGATTAAAAAAAGAAATATTAAAATTGTTGGTTCATTATTCAATTTGTAGTTTTACCGATAAATACTAATAGTAATGATATCTATGACCAATATACAGAAATACAAATGGTTATTCACAATTCAATTGTACAGTCTTTGATCACAGTTCAACTATTTTATGAACTCAGTTACCGAGTATAGATTTGTGCACAAAAATTTCGGGTTACAATTTAAGTTTAAGGGCTAACGATACAATCCGGTTACTCAAAACAAGGTAGGTGGAACGGGATTTGCGATTGAGACTTAATGGCTGAAAGACGAGGGCCTTGAACACACCTCTATAATGTTTCGAGTTTTTATTGATCTAACAGTTAGATCCTCCTAGTAAGCAAACAACAGACCATAGATTTTACCTCCAATCAATCATTAAAAATTTGATCATTAACATTGTTTGATAGTTCTTTTTATTGATTTTAATCAAAGGTATTAATATAATATACTTACTATTTTGAGTATAATTTCCATTGTAAGGATTCAATGAAATATGAGTCTGAAATAAAAATACAGTATTAAAGTACCATATTCAATTAGGAATCCACTGAGAATAAAAAAAGCAATAAACAGCTTTTCCCATGCCTAGTATTGGACTCCAAGCAGTAAACACTTATAACTCCACTAGGGAACGAATACTAAGCTGTTAAGTCCTATGGTAAAAGCTAAACAGGTACAAGCACTATGTTGACTTCATATGGTAAATATCTTCAAAATTGATCAGTCCGCGATAAAGAAGGATGATCAAAAGTATTTGTGAAAAGATTTTAAAAAGTAGAAGGTAGGTAAGTAAAACCATAGGTATATAAGCGTATATTCAATAATTACCTTAGCTAACTGATTCAATACATAACTGATGCAAATGAATTGGATTCCTTATTAACATAAAGAATAATTTTCCTGCTGTTATTATACCTATATTAAAGGAACATGGGATTTAAATACTATTGTATATCTAATAAAACTATTAATGTAGCAGTCCAGCTCATTTAAGCTGGGAAACATCTGTTTCTTGGGTTTATTTCATTGTACAACAGTTGAAAAAGGTATAACATATTATATGTAGCGGTAATAATTGTTTATACATGAACATCGAATTCAAGGGTGATAGAGCCACACACACCCTAAAGAGGAGAATTTCCGATTCTTTAAAAGCTGAACTAATCTTTCTTAATTAGTGTCGTAGTGGGTGTATTCCGTTTATTAAAATAATTTTTATATCCGGATGAGAACAAATGTATAGTAACCGTTAGGAATTACTTAAGGACTAATATTATGCGTATATTCTTATTGCATGACCATTAAGTGACTATATTATATCCATATTCCTTTCATTATAAGCTTTTATTTGATTTATTGACTATTATCATATGATTTACTATTCTTGAGATATTCATATTTTGGAGGTTGAGATTGGCGTTCTGTTGTTACCAGGCAGGGCAAGGCGGCAAAAGACCGACTGGAACTCTAGGCTCTTCGTATTGGTGTATGCATCATTAGTTTCGTGGTATAAGTTAGCGTATCTAAATTTGCAATTGTATTTCGTGATAATCGTATAGCTAAGGACATCACAATAATGAATATCGAGATTTCATTAATATTTCAGTATACTTCAGACTGAATCAATTCGTATGACTAGCAGGTAAGTGTGTATGAATCTTTAAAAGTATATAAGTTCAACAATTCTGAATTGATCTTCATTAATAGCATCTATGCAAAAATTGAATAATGTACTTTAATAAAGTAATATAGACACGTTTTAATTATAGAAAACATGTTATTTTATAAGAATAATTTCAGCATTATATTCATCTTTTAGGACAAGTCGAACCATCTTACAAATACTATGCAAATGTTGATGCTTTAAAGAGTATTTCAAATATTGAAAAAGAAATACATCAAGTGATAACATAATCTGTTCAGTTAATTTGATGATTTATATCATGAACGGATCAGTGTTAAACCATCATTGAAAACCTGGAAGCACTAGACGGCTGTTTCGTCCTAGTGTTAGACATTAACACCGTTGGATGATTTAGAGGTTAAGTGTTCGCGAGCGATACCGAAATTCCTGGGTTGGAATCCCGCGTGAGGGATCGTGAATGAGCACTGCTGAAGAGTCCCATATTGGGACGAAATGACAATTCAGTGCATCCAGGTTTTCAATGGTGATCTAACATTGATCCATTCATGATATCAATCTAAACTCAACAATCTCCACAATTCTATACTGATAATTTTATAATATTACATAGTCTAATACAGATGTTGATGATTAACAGACTTACCATATTATGCTTTTCAATGACAAGATTTGAAATGTGATGTGAATGAACTGTTGATGAATGAGAAACTGGTGTTTTTAAACTTAACGCCACTTCACTAACTACAACTTTAAGCCAATGACAAAAATTTATTGTAGCCAAATGTATACAAGACAAACGTACTGTTACTCGATGACGGTGTAATATAACCTAGAAAAAAATTAAAACACCATGATTAAAAGAAGACAGAATATCATTTTTAGCTAGTTCTATATTGTTATATCATCATATATAGAAATAGGAGTTTTACAATTTAAGTTAGAAATCATAAGTCAATTGAAGCTAAACCACCGTAGAAAACCTGGAAGCACTGGACGGCCGTTTTGTCCTATTATGGGACTCTGCAGCAGTGCGCATCTACGACCCCGCCTCGCAGGCTTCGAACCCAAGACCCATCAGTCTCGTGCGCGAGCGCTTAACCACTAGAATCGACTGATCTAGACTAACTAGGGATTGCAAGGGATGTTAAGCAAGGCATTCCCACTCGTGATCTGGTGCGGATGCGTGACCTACTGCCTTCAGTCAGGCAATTTCATTAAAACGAATGTGATCAACATCCAATGTCGAAGACTTACAGAGCTATTTATTTTGGGGATTTGTTTACCGCTACACAGTCATGTAATATCTGCTTTATTCTTTGTACTGTAGTTAATTCTTATTTAAGTATACATAGTACAAACTTTTCTAGTGACTATATTTCAATAGCCTAGTTGATTCATAAAAAAGCGCATGATTTCAGATTTGTAAATAATCAGTGGGTACTTTGATTTTGTACTGTACTATGGGTAGTTGAGTTATAATTTTTCTATGAATCGAGTAATACTATTTTGTTCGTTATTGAAAATCCTGTTTGGCAAATAGAAACTTGCTGTTTGCCAAAAAATTTTAGAACTCCTTTGAAGAACTGTCAAAATGTGAAGCTGAATTCATAAAACTATTCAGCTAGGTAAAATTTTTATTTACCTGTGTTTTGGTTGTAGTGTATAACAATGAAATTATAAAAATACTAACTTACTCTATGATATTTGAACACAAAATATGTTTGCCAAAGTACCCAAACTATTCTTATTATATGTTTTGGTATCCAAAGTTTACTGTGACATACTGAATCACGGACTTCCCATACTGAAGACAAATTGAAACCATCATGAATCATTACTCCTAAACCGAAACCTAATAAGAGTAATGCGGATACTTTTCAATAAAAAAACGAGCTACTGATAATGAATTAAGTAACTTAAATGCGCGCTACAAAAATGAAAAATCATTAGATTTACCTCATTGCACAAGCTATCAGGATCGGTAGCTGAGTAGCTAACGAGATGGCATTTGAGGGAGACGGCGTTGGGTTCGAGTCCCAGAGTGAGCACTAAATAAGATCCAGGTACATCCAATAGAAGATTCCAAAATAGGACGAGGCGCGCGTCCTGGATCCCAACACTACCTACCATTCATCTTCGCTCGTAAAATTGTTACACAGAAGAATTTTTTACCATTATCCGGTTAGTTTATTAACAGATAGATTATATCATAAGTAATTAAATTTTGAAAAAATGTATTGACAGTATACTACTGAAGTGAATAATAACGTTAATATTTATTTCGATCACGTATAAATTCAAATGAATAGTAGATTCTAAGTGTTAATAAAAAAAATACAGAACTGTGTGTTTCAAGGAAATAGCTATGTGGAAAGGCAAGGGTTAATATTCCTGTTACATAACAGCATCAGCAATTATTGTTCATTCGCTTAAGTGAATGACTAGTTGAGGGTAGTGATTTCATTTGCATCCCTTAACGAATCCCGGAACAATAGTCTAGAGGTCGAGTGTTCGCGCTAGTCTGAAGGTCCCGGGTTCGGGTACCATGTTAATGATTGTGAGTGAGCACTGCTAAGAAGCCCCATTATAGGGTGAAACGGCCGTTAAATGCTTCAAGGTTTTCAATGATAGTCTAACATTTATCGGTTCATGATTTCAATCAAAAGCTTAACAGTCACCAGAAACCCATACTGATGATGATATTATTGAATAATTGATATATTGATTTGTAGATTCCAATGGAAAGCATTAAATTTCTAGAATGATTTCTTTTAATTATTATTGATATTTCATAAAATGTTATGAATAACTAAACATTTAGGTAATCCATAGTTGTAATAAAGTTTCGTGTTTGAAGTAGTCAATACTCTCCAATATTCTTGCTGTAGTGAAGGAGAACACAGGTAAGGACAACCGAGTTATCTTTAGCACAAAATCACAGAGTTACCTGGTAAAGTAGAAAAACTATACTATAATACTTAATTTACAAAATGTTCAATGATTGTCTCGAACTTCGTTGTTCTTGCATTTCCATACTAATTGCTTTCTATTCCCACTCTTCCTTTCTTGATCTTCCCCATCTTCTGCTGCCAGACATTACATTCCTGACTCGCGTCATATACTACTTATATCAGTATAAGTAGCACGCATCACATTGCATTTGCTTGGAGGCCAAGATACTTCCAAAACATAGTTACCAAGTAACCTCATATTGAACAGATAAACAAATTTCATTTATTTAACTAAACCACATTTGTATACGTTTATATAAATTTATGGAGTTGAAAGTAAATATCAAATATGTCATTTTAATTAGAATTCAGGTCAATTCTCCCAAATTCTAGAGAAAAAATCAGATACAAAGTATAATTTCTGGTCTTTATTGTGATTCCATTAGAAAAATTAGTGAATGCTAGTATAGGGGATCTATTGGAAACCCGGAAGCACTGAACGGATGTTTTATCTTACTATGAATTTCTCAGCAGTTCACATCCACCACCTCATATCCGGGAGCAGAATTCAGGACTTTCGGTTTTGCGAGCAAATTCTTAACCTCTAGATCACTAAGTTCAGTGTGTTTGAGGTATTTATCCACCTCAGGCAATGTATGAGAGTTATGCAATACAGTGAATTGATTAAAGTTAGACATTAACACCGTTGAAAGCCGGTTCAGTGGCCTGGAAGTTGAATATTTTTATGTTCACATATGAACGTAGGTGATGATAGTATGTTTCTAGACTAAAGAATGAGTTAGCTGTATAAAAAGTGTAAGATAGTTTTCAAAGATTGGATGCATATGGACCATTGCAACTGATTCCAAGTCATCTTATGTTAACAACCATTGACTAACCATTACCATTACAAGATAATCTGTACCCACTTACTTAGCTGTATTAATTGGTCAATGACTTCATGTTCTAATACTATATCATGGTTTGGTTAATAAATCTAGATAATCAACATTCAGACATTTCATTCACATACCCTAACAGTTTCTTATTGTTATCATTTGCATATATTGAAATCAATGCAAGTTGATTTAACAAAATTCGAAAACAAAACCTTACCAAATTGTATGATCAAACAAATAGATATCCTGAATATTTAACTGAATCAATGTTGATGTTTACAAATTTTAAGGAGAATCGACAACAAATTCTATAATTATTATTACGCTTACCAACTGCTCCAAGTCGCATATATAAATTCATTCCTTCCGGATGTATTGATATATAAGGTTTCTCTTGATTATTATTATTATTATCATTGTAAAGGCGAATTAATCGTGTCAGTTGTCGTTCACTTGTTGTTGATTCAATATCAGATGGTTTATCAATTGGGCTAACTGGTGAGGAATTATTTGTATAATCTGATTTTATCAACTAAAGAAAGTGATATAAAAGTGTATGTATGAGGAAGAAGGAGAAAACTACTCTCTCTCTCTCTCTCTCTATATATATATATATATATATATATATATATATATATATATATATCAGCAAGTATATATACGTTATATTCAATTGGTGCTGTTTACTTGTATCTTCCCATTGTACAAGTAGGTGGTTATCAGGACTCAGTAGCTAAGTGGATAACGCAATGGTGAAAGGTACTGGATTGGAGTTCCAGGGTGAACATCAACTCTGAGATGCAAGTACATCCAGTTGATGAGTCCCGAATAGGACGAAACGTGCGTCGTGGACTCCACAGATAGCCACTATCCATCTTTGTTTACATACACTTTACTACATATATGCTAATATAAAACCATAATAATAAAATTTTTCCGAATGTAAAAAGGCTTTCATTAATTTAAATTATTTATATTTTTTGCTTTAATGTTTTGTTAGTTAATCAGAATCAGAAATCGTCTATACTGAATATCTGGACGACTTGCAAAGTTGTGTTTTTTAATTGATTAAAACATCTAATTATTAAAGTTTATGATACTTTTTAAATGTACATGGTATTGTATACATATCTATCCAGTCTTTAGTGCTGATCGGATCTTGTCAAATAAATTTCAGTGTGGCCATTAAATTAAGTGACTTGATATTTCGCAGACTATCTTATTGATATTAGTCTGTTGCATGTATTTATCATAAAACCTTGAACCTAGGTTTTGTGATGGTTGACATTTATTCCAGAAGGCGAAACTGCAATCTTGGGGCAACTGATACACTCTGATATATTCATGCTTCCATAACCCATATATTCAGGGTCTAAAACGTTACAACAAAGTTAGTCGGAACCTAATTGATCTTCAGGAGTGGGACATTTAGGTTGGTCGATAACTTTTATGTATGGGTTGTGATCAAATACCCTGGTACGGCCGAGAGTGGGGAGAGTCAGCTCTTCCTCTAGAAATTCTCTTACATGGCCACGCCAATACAGCCACTGCCAGGGAAAGTCTGCTCATTGCATCCCCGAGGCATTACTGTTGTTTACGAAATTGAGAGGACGAAAAGTGAATGTTCGGCTCTTTAGCCGGGTTGATGGACATGGAAAGTTCACCTATGAGAGTTGGAAAACCCTGATTCCAAATCAGTAGTGCACATGGGCTCCAGAATTCTAAGAAAACAAATGGCGTATATACCTATTGTTAGTCACGGGCTACCATAGGACTGCATCTCATAACGCTGCTCTGCTGTTTTGTGGATCAAACCTTTATGTCAAAGGCTCGGGGCGTGGCGCCCTAAGAAAACCACCTGCTTCGGTTTGGGCACCCGAGCAGTATCACAGCCCGCACACAAATCAAGTGACTTGTGTGACACATATCCGTTTGGTGTCGCTTTGTACCAATATTTATGTATTTAAATAAATAAATAAAATGTGATCAACAAATCAATCGTATACAACCATTGAATTTATTAATTCTTTGTGTTAAATCATAAATTTATCAAAGAAAATCCAAATTAATACTGAATGAATGGAAAAAGATGAGGAAGATAATTCATCGAAGTGTAGTATTAGAATTCAGTTACAATTTATTCATTAAAAAGAAATCATACATGATTGGCAAACAGTGTCCATATGAAGTATGTAGAGTTAATTAATGCTTCATTTAGGCTAAACATACATCATCCTCTATTGCGAAACATTTGACTGAAACTAGTCATAAGGTTGACATCAAATCACCATTTGTAGTGTTATAAAAAAGCCTATAAGGACGTATACTAAGGTTTATTGAAGCCTTGGTCATACGGAAACTGAAACCCCTTTTATGCGTTCATGAAAATTTGTTCTTACTCTTAACCTACCCTTGTAATACTGATTTATTATCCAGTGTAGTTATCACATTATTTTTGTGTACTTTATTTTCCTTTGTTACGGCTCTCCTTTAACCTGTCTACTTGACCTTTTAGTTTCCATATAAAAATGTCTTAACAAGTATATGTGTGATCAGATTGTTCGAAATGTACTGCGCAAATATATAACATAATGCTGATAACCTTCATCTTCTCATTGCAATAACGAAATTTATCAGAGGGACTAGTTGTTCTGAAGTTGTAAATTTGTTTAGGTTATGAAGTAATGTTTTAGTTAACAGTGTTAAGACTAATGTTGAGAAACAAACTTGTAATAAGCAAAAACGGATAGTGACTAGCAGTGTAGTCCAGGACGCACGTTTCCTCGTTTTGGCACTCGTCAGCTGGATGTACTTGCATCTCCGAGTTGATGCTCATTCTGGGACTCGAACCCAGTACCAGTCGCTTCAAACGCCATCGCGTTATCCACTCATCTATATCGAAGCAATACGGACACTATTTACATATGCCAATAAAAGACTGATCAATTGCAGTCTTAAACCTCAGTAGGAAGATACAAGCAAAACAATACCAAGTGAAACTTGTGATAAACTTTAAACTTACAAATCATAGACTTGAATGCCTTTCCATCCACTTCGTCCTGAGTAGCCACTTACTAGTATCATCAAGTCTTACTGAAATAGTATGTCTATTAGCCTGTACTTGGTAAATGAGTAAGAACATAACCAATCATTTTATTCCGTTTCAAATATAAATCTCGACATTACTGACTATAGTATATCAAAAGATTGTTTATAATTGTATTATTTTTGATACTACTTTGTAGGCTGTTCATAGCTGTTGGAAGACATTGAAATAGAATCTATTTATTTTATTCTGCAAATGTTATTCTCAGAAGGGCTTTGTGGAGATCTTAGAAATTTCACTGATTGAAATCATGAATCAATTGAAGCTAGATCACCATGGAAAACCTGGAAGCACTAGGCAGCCGTTTCGTCCTAGTATGGGACTCATCAGCAGTGCGCATCCACGATCCCACCCCCCGCAAGATTCAAGCCCAAGACCTATCAGTCATGCGCACGAACGCTTAACCTCTAAACCACTGAACTGGCTGGCATCCAGTTGTGGTAATGTCTAACCTCAACCACTCCACGAAGTTGCGACACCGTACACCATTATCTTCAGTGAGTTTATATCTCACAACAGACCTGGTTGAACTCCACTGGTCACGTCTTCTCAATAGAACTCCAGGAGTATCTCTTGAAGTCAGTCACTAGTGAGCAGATGATTATTATCAGAAGGAGTTTTGTGGAGATTTTAGAAATTTCACCGATTAAAATCATATTTGTGAGTCCCATACTAGAACGAAACGGCCATCCAATGCTCCCAGGTTTTCCATGGTGATCTAGCTTCAATTGACTCATGATTCCAATCAGTGAAATATTATTCTATTTGATTTGTTCATATGTATGAAAAATTCTGTTACAATCATCCGATGTAACTTTTCAAAAGTAATCTCAAGTTATTTTACTTACCATTAGATTTAAACACAAAAGGTTCGATACCGTGAGTGAAGTAACTATCTAATACTCATTTCACTCTCTTGTTGATGTAAGATGGTACTAAAAAAATTATCATTATATTCTATATAAAACCAACAAACTTAGTAACACTTCATTAAAATAGTTCAAAACTACCACCACCAATAATAAAACATAGTAATTAAAAATGTACATTATAATCATTGATTCAACTTACTATATTTGGTTCACTTAATTCATGATGTTCATTAATTACTATAATATAAATGAAAGAAAATGTTATTAAATGTACCAAATGCACCAAAATTATTTTTTTTTAAATACAAAGCTGAATTATAAGCTCACTAGGGATGGTCTCCAAGAGGTATTTTGTTATAACTTGTCAACTGAATGCTGATTGTCTTGGCTCTTTTTTTATCCCGTTGCCACTGATATGACTTTTCAATTTTTTCCCGGAATCCCTGTCACCGTTAATATGTCTTATCGTTTAATGTTTCTTGTTATATCGTTTATCACTTATACTCGGAACGAGGGACCTCTACAATTCCCACGACGCGAAAGTAAGAACACAAAGACTGGTATAAGTGATGATTCATTAACCCAAAACACTATGACGACGACAACTCTAGTAGAAAATTCACTCATTTATATATTGATTGTACTCCCATTTCGATTAATAATTAGGATGAAATCACATATATAATAAATCACATACCGAGCATACTTCATGTCAATGAAATACAAGAATATCGCATATTATACAGAATAAAATATCATACGAGACAATAAAACAAATACTTCATTGAGTAATCATTACATTGAGTCAAAACGGAAGTAATCTTGAACAAAACGCATAATGGTAAATCAATCAAATTTTGACTTTGCTTCCAGTCATATCATATTTCCTAGAGTTCTAGTGAGAAGCCATGACCAGTGGAGTTCAACCAGGTATGTTGTGAGATAGTAACTCACTAAAGACAATCATGAACTGTGACTCAATTTCGTGGATTGGCTGAAGTTAGACATTAACACCGTTTGATGCCGACCGGCTCAGTGGTCTAGAAGTTAAGTGTTCGCACGCCAAACTAATAGGTTCTAGGTTCGAATCTCACGGGGTGTGAGATCGTGGATGCACACTGCTGAGGAGTCCCTTACTAGGATGAAACGGCTGTCTAGTGTTTCCAGGTTTTCCATGGTGATCTAGTTTCAATCAACTCACCAATTCAACTATTAAATGAATGTAAATTCTCAGTAATTGTGAGGGTGTTAATAATAATAGTTATAAATAATTTATTAATGACTTAATCAGATCTGTTTTTCGATTGATTATATCAAATATTTTTGCTTTTTCCTCTTGATACTGTTTAAATCTGAATTATTTGAATTTGTCCATTTATTTATTCTCTGAAGAACTGGCTTACACTTAGTTACGAAACGTTTGTAAATTTAATTGTTTTATCCATTAGAATATTACTAATATGTCACTATTTTCTATGATTAATGATATACTCAATTTAAACCGTTGTTATTAGAATATGGAATTCTCAAAATACTGTATTTTAGCATACCCTTTTTATTCTACATATAGGTTACAAAAAATAAATGAATACGCATGTTGAAAAATGAAATAAGTAGATAAAATTGGGGGGAATATTTATCAGAAAATATGAAGTTTTATGAGTATTATTCTCAAGTATACAGTTGTTAGTAAATGTCAAGGTCGTTTTTACTTCATCGAAAGCGTTCACCGAGATGGAAACGACTTGGACTTTATTAATTATTGTATACAATCCAATAGATATCTTACAACCTATTAGTTTTTTAGTAGTAGTAGTATAGTATATACGCTAGATATTGTATTATAGAGCTTTTGAACATTTGTTTGAATGCATTGATTTCAATGTACCAACGTCTTATTCTGTTAGAACATATATAAAAAGACAGATATTAACGGATTCAATGGTTGTTATTTGTCTCGTTTTCAAGATTTCCAATGATATCAAAAGATCCACTAAACACCTTATTAATTGCTTTAATAATTCTATACAGCATAGAGAAATATTTTCTCAAAAGTTTGCGAAGAAAAATAATAAGAAACAGTATAGGATAATAAGCAATATATAGGAGTTTGCATATCGTAAAAGATATTGTTGACTAATCCCCAAAGCATGTACCATGTTTATATAATAAGTGAGATGTGAAACCTATACTAACAGGGAAATCAAAGATCAAGAGAGATTGAGACAGAGAGCATGTACCAAGATCATTATCGATCGGAAATTCATTGACGACATAATAAAAGAAAATCGAAACTTAAATGAAGAATTTTTGTTGAAAGTGTTAATATTTTTTTAACATATATTGTTTGACTGTCAAGCTTTCCTTTTCATGTTATCTAATGAGGTTGTCCTAAAGTAAAATAGAAACTATTTTAATTCAACTATAAGAGAATCTGGGTTCGAATCTCGGGGCGGGATCGTGGATGCGCACTGCTGAGGAGTACCATAATAGGACGAAACGGCCGTCCAGTGCTTCCAAGTTTTCCATGGTGATCTAGCTTCAATTGACTCATGATTTCAACCAGTGATATAAGAGAATCTGTTGATAATACTCTGTCTTCTGACTTGAAACAAGAGTCTAATAAACATTGAAGAGAAATGATTTCTTTTGAATAAGCAAAATTACAAAGCTCACGTAGATAGTATACAAAAACTTTAAGTGACAGAATATAACATTGTAAAGAAATAAAATATCTTCGGTTTTAGATATTATTGTCTAACAGAGGTTTTGATGAATATTAAAATGAAAAGTCAAGTACTATTTAAGAATTAAATGAATTCATATAAAAAGAGGATAAATCAAAGATATGAAGTGTACAGAACAGTTACGAAAGGTTATCGTCAACACAATATGCAGTTCTGTTCTATCATACTTAATCAATAGCAGTTATGTAATAGACAGGAATAGATTATTTAAAGTGATATATCATATTACTACTAGTTTTCTTTATGGAGTTCGATCTTATCTCTTATGCAACAGAAGCTATGAGGATCCGAGCCAAAAACTTGTCTTGTGACCCTAGTCACATGAAACGTTCACTTATTACAAGTCTCCCCAGATTCGCATCACATCTATTGTTTGCTATTGTTACAGTATACGATCTGACTGGCATACATGTTACCAACTTTAGGAAACATCTATTATCTTTAAATTATAACATTCTTTTAATTCAAAGCAATTTTTATGATTGAATGATATTGTCCATTATTTAGCTATATAAATGTAAAACTATTCATTTGCTTATTATAGCTCAAAAACTAAATGAACTTTTATGTTACTACTTATATTGTTAAATGAATCTCATTATAATAAATTCAATTCTATTTGTAATGATGACAGGAATTTAACAGAATAAAGAGGTTTATGTCATCATTATTGAAATCATACATTTAAAGAATAAGATTATTATTATTATTACTATTTGAATATAGATTATAGATTTCTAATTATTTGACTAATTAAGATGTCTTTATTTGGTATAATAGTATACTAATCATGAATTGATGATTACTATGTATAAATAATAGGTCATTGTTATTTTGCTTGCCTATATAATGAGTATCATACTATCTTGACAGCTTGAATATAATAGATTTAACTGACATGTATAACTGTTAGTATTTGTTTCTATTCTGTTTGACTGATTATTCAAGTCATTTGATCTTAATTTAGATAGAGTTAAGTTGAATATAGAAGGATGTGTTATGGTGATCTGGCAAAATTCTCGCAAAAGACAAGCAAGGAGCAGGAAACACTAAGAAGTGTTTCCTCCAATCAGTGTTCGCTTGAAGTTTTAGCCGAAAATATCAAGGGGGCAAAACGTCACATGCAGAGGTTCTGATTCGCTGATTGCTACACTGCTACTATGTTTAGCAGCATTCCAAAATCTTCTAGCAACCCAAAGACTTCTCACATATTTTGCGTCTTCTCTCTCGTTGTTCAGGTCGCTATATAATTGTACCTTGGAGGTTACAGAATAGCTTAGGAAACGAATATGGTGTTCAATCCGCAAGACTTATCAGGATGTTAATCAAATTACGTAATAAATGTTTAGTTAGTAGACGTTTTGTTGATATTACATTGGAGATTAAAGTAGCAATAAAATTTAGACTGGAATAAGAGATTGTGGTTTGACACATGTTTAACTGTTGTAGTAAATGTACTCTAACTCACTACTCATTCATTAGGTAACTAATGTTTGAACATAAGTGTTACTACAATGTTAAGTATTCTATTCGGACAACTGTAATCCGTACTTAAGATTGAAAGATATAATCTTTGATTTTGTCATTAGTAAGACCAAAAGGTGTGTGTGTTCATAAATATTTATTTTGGAAGAGAACATTGAATGAAACCGATTCAACTTACTTTCGTGCATAAGGAAAATTGTAAATGGACTACTACTAGACGTTTTGTATTCATGTCAACACTTAGTTGGTCATTAGTTCTTTGAGACAAAGTAGCTATTCAGATAAGGTGCTTGCTAGTCTTGAGTTATTCGAGTTTGTAATGTCTTTTTTTTAACATTGTTGCAACTCATTCAGTGAACTATACAAATGAGTGGGGAATATTTAAGACACATCAAATTCAAACCAGTAAATTGATAGATTAATACAAAATGGCCGCATCATACTTCATAAATATTCTTTCCAGTACATTAAGTGATGTAATACTGTAATATGCTATTAAACAGTTTAGTATTTTATTAGTGTAGAAAGCCTGTGGAAATTATGGAATTATATTAATTATATCACGAACTGATCTTAGTTAAGCAAACGCCGAAAACTAGAACGTATTGGATAACTGTTCTGTTGCAGTACGACAATCCTAATCACTGTAAATTCATACATTTCCTAGGGAGTAAACTTAAGACTTTCAGGCGTCGAGGTAAGCACTTAAAAAATGAATCAGTTATCATTCAATAGTTTACATTTCTGACCTCAGTTAATTCATGAAGTCGTCATCCAATGCCATTGATGGGTAAGTGTTTCACTTCCGATATAATTGAATTCAAATACTTACTTGTACACTCTTACTACTGAGCAATAACGTACTTAGAGGTAACATGTATCTAGTGTTTCTTAGTTTTTAATGGTTATCTAGCTACAATCAATACATGATATTCTTTATTAAACTATAGTAGATCAGATTATATCAGGTAAAACCATAATACAAAATCATTTTTGGTCATTTTAATAGATTATCCTGGAAAGATGTCATGAATTTTTAAATACACTTGAATTTACATGTCACTCAATCAGTTCCACATCATTATAATATTGACATAAGTGACCTGAAGATGTTTATATTCAAAGATAAGTTTAAAGGATCAAGTACTGTAAAATAACTAGTATTGTTCTCATTAGATTCGAAGCTTCAAGAATTTCAGTGAGAAGTGGTGATTTTTCAGTTAATCAATTATCATTAACTGCGCTGGATATCTATCACTTTATATTTTAAATGAACTGAATTTATGAATGCTGACGATTGAAATATAAATATGTCGAGAGTTGAAATCATGAGTGAATTGAAAGTAGATCACCATGGAAAACCTGGAAACACTAGACAGTCGTTTCATTCAAGTATGAGACTCCTCAGCAGTGAGCACCCACAATCCCACCCCCGCGATATTCGAATCCAAGACCTATCAGTCTCGTGCGCGAGCGCTTAACCACTGGACCACTGAACTGGTCGGCATCCAAAGGTGTTAACATCTAACTTCAACTAATCCACGAAGTCGCTCCACCATCCATCATTGAATTATCATCTCACAACAGACCCGGTTGAACTCCACTGGTCACGGCTTCTCATTAGAACTCCAGGATATGCCTGTTGAAGTCAGTCACTAGTGAGCAGATGATTAATATTAGAAGGGGTTTTGTGGAGATTTTAGTAATTTAAGTAGTTGAAACCATGAGTCATTTGAAACTAGACCACCATGGAAACCTGGGGAAAAATCCGGAGAGCGGGATCGTGGATGCGCACTGCTGAAGAGTCTCATGCTAGGATGAAACATCCGTCTAGTGTTTGCAGGTTTTCCATGGTGATCTAGCTTCAATTGACTCATGATTTCAAGTATTGAAATTGCTTAAATCTCCACAAAACCCCTTCCAAGATTAAGTATATATTATCTGTTGTACTAGCTGAAAGTTTTTTCTTCAATTTTGTATGAGGTCATCTGTGTAGACCTAAAAAAGTTTAAAGGATAATAAATTAACTTCTGAGATGGTGCAAAAGGTCTGTAGTTCAGATGGAGTTTCAAAATTAGCTTCTCTCTAATTGCCATGATTACTCTTTTAAAGGTGAGATTAAACTTTTTTTAAAAATCATAAAAACATATAATAATAAAAACGACTGTTCATTAAAACCTACTTACTCATATGTTTATCATCAACTAATTGACGACCAGTTTTAGATTTATAAATTTCATGAATAAGGGCTTGTTTTAACTGTTTTTTAGTTCCACTATAAATTAAATATTGTAAATAAGCTAATACAAGTAATGCTCCACAATACTGAGAAATTAGAAATATCTAGTAGACGATAAAAGAAATAAGAGAAATCATGGTGAGTACACAATTAATAATACTACTATTACATAATAATATGAGTGGACATTAACTTTTATAAAAGCTATAATTATAGATAAATGCTTCGATGAATGAATATAGTGGTCTTGAGCGCCGTTAGAGGTATGAGGGCGGTTATCACTTCCGGTTGCCCACATCGTGGAAGGGTTGTTCTGGAGGTACCTGAAAAGGAAATTGGATTAGAGGTGGTCATTGTGACCTGAGAGCGTGACCGCAGTGCCCAGAGGAGAACTACTTGAGGTCGGCCACACACGACCTTTTTGTGATTAATTTTTGTGTTAGCTCCGTACTTGTTGAAACCTTACCGCCGGAGATGGATATCCGTGGGATAAGGTGAGGTGTGCATTTTTAGGTTCGATCTTTTCTGACCCCACCTCTTCTTTTGGGAGGGCAGCATCGCTGTCATGCTGGTTGTCTGAAGGGAGCACCTTGCTATTGTCACACCTCTGTACAGCCAGCATACGACTTCGCCTTCGGACCTTGGGTTTGTTGCTTTTAGTCTTACCGCTCTTCAACCGACCTGTCTGATATGGTAGGACCTTGAGGAACGGTTGTTCCAGTCAGTATATCTCGGTTGCTTCATCACGATAGGCAAGCCCGACCACCACGTCAAGGTAGCAGCAACGGTCGGGATAAATGCTTTAGTTTGTCCAAGTTTCAGTAATTTATTATACATAAATGACCTGCTTCGAAATGGATTTTTAATATAGTTTTAATATAGTGGAGAAGATTCGCAACTCAGGTGGGCGTTTTAGGTGAAGTTTTGTTCTCTGGAGTAAATGGTTTTGTTGTGGGGCTTTCATTGTTCTTCTGAACAACTTCATCCGCATAAACGTCAGGTAGAAGTGAGTGTTTCGGATTTCTCCACATATAAGTTGCAACTTTCCGTGTTGACTTTGATCTAATTTGGTTATTGTTGATCTTTCACCTATCATTATCTACTTCCTTATTTTGATTGTATCTCAAAGTGATTTGATTCTTGGTCCAATATTTGTCCACAATCTTTCTGATGGTTGATAGATTTCAATGTGTTCGTTGATTGTGGATTAGTCTGAGTGTCAAGCTCCTAAGAATTCCCTGATGCTTTTAGTATTATCTCTATTCAATATATCAACATTTTTGCAGTCTAATGTGTCCACGATTGTCCACATTCATTGGAATAATCGAGAATATGTCATGGCGTTTGACTGCTAATTGATATTTCTTCAGGCGGAAATGAAGTAGGCATCCACAATGAAAGGTTCAAGGTCAACGATAACCAATCGACACTGAAGTCGACAAGAAAAGCGGCAACCTGTATGTGGAGAAATTCGAACACTTTACTTCTACTTGAAGTTTACGCTGATGATGTTGTTCAGAAGAACAATGAAAGCCTTATGACCAAACCATCCAGCTCAGAGAACAAAACCCCACCTTAAAGTTTGAATAAGAAAAAGTAAGACCGGTGAAACTATGGAAGATATTGTATAGCTAATGATTAAATTTGAAGATAGATTATAGAATTCGATAAAGACAATCTACTTTTAAAAGTAAGTATAAAATTGGTGACCAAGAATAGGTATAACATTCTTGCAGAACTCAAGGTCGAAGGAAAACAAAAAGTATATGCATTTGTACTAGTGCGATTGATCCTAGGTCATGTTACCCAACGTCTCCTGCCATTGGCTTTGATAATCACAAAGGTATCAACTAGGTAGTCTGTAACTATCTATAGTGCTCAGTTTAACAGTCGATCACGTCATAACCCTATTCCATTTCGTAGTTCAACCACTCTTAACCTTCTTCCAACCTATTTCTACGACGACAATATTGCATGTCAAAGTGTTAAGTGCTTGAGTCCAAGTAACACATATAATTACTCTAAATATCAATAATCTTTTATATCTCTAAATAAGACTAAATTAACAAAATATGACTTACTTCCAAATAATACTTATGATCTGCTTCATAGTAAAGTTTAGATCCTTTCATACCAAATGAATCACATATCGGTAATACAAATCCAAATATACACTGTGTTATAGCAAACATGAAAAGTAAACTGGCTGTCATAGATTCACTAAAAATAAATCATTAGAAAATATTGAGAAAAGAACAATTTAGCTACTAGAAGATAACGTTTCAAGGAAAAATATGACGGGAACACAAAATACAATCTCTTTTTTAATTAAAATAACAATATATGTAATTTTAATAGTTGAATTCATGAGTCGATTGAAGCTAGACCATCATGGAAAACATGGAAGCACTGGATGGCCGTTTCATCTTAATATGGGACTCTTCAGCAGTGCGCATCCACAATCCCTCCTCGAGAGATTCAAACCCACAAAACCCTTCTCTAATAACAATATAGATGTATTTAAGATTGAAAATTCTTTTCACTGAAATTAACAAACCGATAAGAAGTAACAAATATGGATGTTTTGAATTCAACTACTGATATTTATCCTATAAACCGTATATTTATCGTTTACTCATCAGGTTTATCATTAATACATATTGAGTTATATGTGTTTTCTATATTAAAAAAAATAATTTCTGGGTTAAATAATTTAGATTTGAATACTTTCACTTCTGCATTGAACCTAATTCTTGTTAGTCAGAGAGTTACAATTGAATGGTTTGGTTTTATTCAACTTTAATCGATCACTGATAGGTAGTTGTCTAATTACAAACCTGGTTATCTCTACGGCTGTGGTTCTTTTCATAAAAATTCAAGAAATCTTTTTTAAGGTTAGTTCTAGTGAGTATACTATTTTAAAAAACTTCTTATTGAGCTGTTGCCTTCTCTTTTAAGCCACGCCGGACAATGTTCTTGAATCCTTTTGGATAAAGTACTCGACGAACGACGTATATACCTAGCTTCACAAGAGCAAGTAACTTGGTAAATGCACATTGATTTGGTCAGACGTGATAATTTATCTTTCAGATTATTGGTGAACAATGATCGGCCGGAGAATAATATTCGCAATGTTGCTGCGAAGAGTGTTCTTTTTAAGGAATCCGAAATTCTCCTCTTTAAGATATATGTGGCTCTATCACCTTTGAAGTCGATGTTCATGTATAAAGTTTTCTTTTCTACTGTAATTATTTGTGTTTTTGGCGTTTTCGGCTTCATGTTCTTATCAATGAATATCGAAGGATACCCGTTTTTGATAAGTATCTCCTTTAAAAGGCCCAATTCTTCATATACGACCTCGGGGCTACAGATTCTTCGTATTCTTGTAGCGAGTGTTATTATTAAGTTTCTTTTTCGGCTGATAGAAACCCAGCTGTGGAAACTTGATAGTTGGCCATTCCACATGGATTTCCTGTAGACAGATCTTTTTAAAGTACCGTCTTGCTTTCTTGTCATTTCCACATCAAGAAAGTGAATATTTTTTTTGTTTTTAACTCCAAGTGTGAATTTTATTGATGGGTGACAATTATTAAATGTCTTTAGGAGATGACTAAAGTCACATTTGTCGTCACAAATGATAAAGATATCATCCACGTACCTTTTATACAAGTGGAGGTTTTCTATAATTGTTTTGAGTTGGTTGTTTTCTAAACTGGCCATGAAGCAATCTGCCAGTAATGGACCAAGTGGGGATCCCATTGCTATACTATACTTCTGTCTATGAATTATGTCGTTGAATGTGATCTGTACATTGCAAGTGTAACGTAGTAATAGTTCCTTCAAATAAACATCCTGTACCCCAGTGTTTATCTCCTTATTATTTATGTACTTGCAGATAAAATTAATGGTCTCTGTGAGTGGAACATTAGTGAATAATGATTCGACATCCAGAGATAGCATAATTTTGTCACTTACATTTACTTTTTTATGTGCTCGAAAAATTCAAAAATATTACGTACGGAATGTTTACAAATGCGTTTTCTAATGGATTCTAGCCACATTGCTATAGAGTGGTAAGGGGATCCTAACATATCAAGAATTAGTCTATGAGGTAGGCCAGGTTTGTATATTTTTGGCGGACTGTATAATCGCGGTATTATTGATGCTGTTGGTTTTATGCGCTGAAAGACCTGTTCGTTGATTAACTGCTCATTTTTCATTCTCCTAAGAACTTCAGTTAGTTGCTTTTCTATAATTTCAGTCTTGTTTTTCTCATTGATTGGTTTTGAGAATTTGGTGTCATCTGATAATAACGTTGTCATTTTTTCAACATAAATCTTGCGATCAATCAGTACTAAACCAGCACCTTTATCTGGACGTGTTATAATCAAGTCTTTATTATTTCTAAGTAGTTTCATCTGGTTTCTATGTTCTTTCGTTAGAAGACTTTTGCCTGTTACTTTTGCGCTAATATATTGGTTGCAGCTGTCAAGAAGAGTAGATTTGAAACGTTGGAATTCTTGATCAGAGACTGGACTAAGAGCATTTGTTTGTTTGATTAAGTTTTCATATCGAACATGTGTGTTGATTTTGTTAATTTTTTTTTCATTTATGTCACAGAATTTTATCCCCAAAGATAAGGCTTCTAATCGTACATTTGTTAAGGATATTGAAGAATGATTAAACACATATCTCTCAAGATTGCTAGGAAATTTGTCCTGTGTTTCTGTGATTTTTTAACTTTTAGTGATGTTCGATATTAAGTTTTTTGTGCGTTTGCCGATAACTGTAGTAAAATATTCGGTGAAAATATTGTGTTCGTTAGGTGATAATTCGTATAATACAGGAGAACTTTGTGAAATGTTAAATTCCAATAACGGGATGCTTGGACGAATAGAATCGATAACATTTTGTGCATGGTGTTTAAGAGATTTTGAATTTGGATAAATATGGTTTCTTCGAAGAATTTTCCAGTAGTATTTAGGATATTTGTGCATTTTAACACAATCCTTAATAAAGGTAACCTTCCCATTCACTTCCGCAAGTTTAACAGAATAACGCAGAAACTTATTAAGTTCCTTTACTGTCGAAGGGTCCTTGGGATTTTTTAATAAACGGAATACACCCATTAAGACATTAAATAAGTATACTACTTTAATTTACTTAAATGTTTTATATGTACCATCTGAACAAGATGGTTATCCATCGACAGTCATCATCAATTAATCGTGAAACAATGATGCGATCACTCTTTGTCATTTCTCTCTTTACTTAGGTTCACTTTACTATGGTTAGTCTATTCAAATAGTTAACAATTCTACTATAAATTACTGCTTAAAAGTGAATAAAAGGAATAACAACTGTCTAAAGATCTGATAGCCTTCGGAACCGATTATTTGAATATTGCGAGATAATGCTCACCATACTACAGGATATGTAAAAACAAAAAACATTCATTTGAAACGTAACGAAGAAGAGGCTCTAATTTATTGAGTTTGTGTTTTCCCTTTGTTGATCAAAAGTTATAAGCGTATGTTCATCGTAAGGTTATTTCATATTACAATTAGGTTATGGGGATAAGTGAAGTTAGGTCGTAGCTGGAATTGGGAACCAGGACTCACGTTATGTCCTATTCAAAACTTTTCAAGTACTTATATCCGAATCCTGGCATTGATGTTCGGACCGGGACTCGAACCCACTAGCTTTTGCTATAAACATCAATGCTTCATGGACCTTGCAACTGGCTGCATTTCAAATTTATGAGCAAATGAGAATAGAGAAGCAGTTCGGTTATGATGATCATACACCAATAACGACTAACCGATTGCCATCCTTAACAGTGATGACAGAAATTCGCAAACTCTTACAAGTTGAATTCATACCTGTTAAACAATTTGGTGGCTATCTGGACACAGTAGCTAAGTGAATAAAGCGTTAATAGTCCTCAACATTGTGGTCAGTGAATATTATTCAATGTACCACACTGTATCCCAAAAGATAACTGAAAAAACTCTAGATATAGCCGTTCAGCACTTTGATTGTTGTTTTGTAACAGTGATTGTAATTGTTTTTCTTCTTTGAATGCTAATTTGATTTGATAAAGACGTTTATACAGCGAAATATTCAAACAGTAATTCAATATTCTGTACTGCTATGCTAATAATTATATGACAAACGCAAGTAGACAAAAATGTAGGATTTACTAAATGCTAGTTGGTATTAAATTGTTGCGTTACACATAGTTATTCAGAGACGATACCGTCAAGAAGATGCATTTTATACTGTTAGGAATCGACTAGTCTCTCATAACATATGCACATCCTGAACAGATTGACTAGAATTTCTGAAACATTCACAAGTATTTTAATAGAGCTAGACAGTGCTTATTAATTGAATGTAACATATGAGTTTTATCCTACTTGGAACTCGATTTAATAGCTCAGCGATAAGTACTGAGATCAAATTCTGTTATGAATACCAAAACTGGAATATAATTACATCCAAATGACAAGTATTAAATAAGAAGATATATTAGCCATGTACTCTATGAATAGACATTATTGAATATGACTAAAACTAATCATTCACTGTTTGTTGATATTTATGATAATTAAACTATGAAATTGTTCTATCAAGGTAATAATGATAAACAGTTTGTATTGAGTAGATATTTGTTTAAATTTACTTAATATAAACAATTATTTAAATTAACCACAAATATTACCATCATTCAATCAAAATAGAATAGTATATGAATGTTTATGTTAATCTACATTATGATTGTTTATAATTTTCATTATTTACTGACGCCTGATTGAAAACTAATGGAAAATTAATAAAACTAAAAACATATATGTATTTTGATGGAGTTTTGTTCTCTGAGCTGGAAAGTTTGGTCTTGGACTTTTCGTCGTTCTTCTGAACGATATCATCAGTACAAATTTCAGATAGGTGTGAAACGTTCGAATTTCTCCATATGTGGTTCACAGCTTGTCCTGTACACTTCAATGTTGATTGGTTCTTGTTGACCTTAAACTTGTCACATATGGAGAAAATAGAACGCTTCACTTTTATCTGAAGTTTGTGCTGATGATGTCGTTCAGAAGAATGATGAAAGCTTCATGACCGAATCACTCAACTCAGATAAAACAAAACTCCATCAAAACCATCCACTTGAGCTACAAATCTTCTTCACCATCTCAGATATATGTATTTATAGTTAGAGACTGAATCAACAGTTTACATTCATAATTATATATGGCTTTTTGAGATTAAGATGTGCCAAGTATTGAATGTCAACGACTGAATTGTATTTCAATGATTTACATGTTCATTAGCTATTCATTTGTAATTCAACATTATTCTAATTTAATATCAGAGGTAATATATGATGACTACAAATTACAAATAAGGCTAGTCTTCAAAAATCTTTTTTAGTTAGATTATCATAGTGAACACACTTGTGAACTATGAATTAGAAGTACTAACGGTTAAGAAATCTCCCAGAGACCTAAAAGTCATGAGTACAGTTCGTGCTTAAGCGTCTCGTGTGTACCCCTGAGAAATCTTATACTATGAAGGAACATCTTTCTGCTTTTCAAATATATCTTAACCGAGATCAATCTGTGACGAGTACAATCTATGAATCCAATATATGTTATGACTGAATAATCCAGTATTTAAGAGAGACCTGTTAAATACTACTTATTTTTACAATAATTTATTATGTACTTTGTGATTTGTTTATAATCACTTCATACAGGGAGATTTAGAAAATATTTATAGTGTATAATAACACTATAAAAATAATATGGAACTGTTCATAGTTCTTTTCAAAGAAACATTTGAACATGTTCTAAATTTGATTGACTTTTAAAATAAACTGACGAATTATTTTATGATCAGAATAAGGAGTTGTGAAGATTGAAGTAATTCTAAACGTTAAATTCATGAGTCAATTGAAGTTAGACATTGACATTGCTAGATGCTGGTTCAGTGGTCTAGAAGTTGATTGTTCTCATGAGAGACCGAAAGTCTTAGGTTCTAGTCTCGTATACAAGATTGTAAATACGCACTGCTGATCAGTCCCATACTATGAAGAAACGGTCATCAAGTGCTTCTAGCTTTTTAATAGTCGACTAGATTACATCGACTCATGAATCCAACTAATCACTAAGTTAGTTTAATGTGTTATTATTATTATTATTTCGTACAAAAATTTCAAACTTACCATTTATTATTGGCTTTAATTGGAACAAAAGGTGCTGATATACTTCTGTAAAAGCAAACAGTAATAATAATACTGATAATAACAGTAACATAATGAAAATACAAAACAGAGATGACAATGAACAAAATAATCATCTGCATAGAATCAATCTCAAGTAAACTTATCAGTTAGTTATAATCAGCGTCCAGCAGGGTAAAGATGTGAGTTGATATAATTTTCAAAGTCATATACATGCAATGAAATAAACTTGACAAGATACATAACAAAAGAAAATAGATAGTATAGTAATAAACATAATAAGAAAGGTTAAACTTTGAGAACACTTTATGAACGGATAAAATTCAATCAATAGTGAAGCCCAGGATCAATATTCGGAAAGATCAATAATATTGTTTATTCAACCAAAAGTGACAATCATGCCAGTGGTTTTTTAAAAAATCTATGAGGTTTAAAAGTATAGATCTTCAAGGCCAAAGGAAAAGAGGAATACCAAGGAATTCATTACGTCGAGATATGGAGACAGACATGAGAAGAATGAACAACAATTGGATAGAACTAGAAAGGAAGGCCCAGGACAGAGTAGGTTTGAGAATGCTGGTCGGCGGCCTATGCTCCATTAAGAGTAACAGGCGTAAGTAAGTATGTATGTAACTAAGTGATTTCAAAAACATTTGAAAAAAACACTGATTAAGTTTTTATGTTTACTTTCAATCATGTTTAGAACTTAACTCGAATCGATCACGATAGAATCTGAAATTGTAGTATACCAAAGTAAACTGAACAGTCTTTTATAGACTTTATTTCAGTTTATACTGGATTAGGATTAAATGATCTACTTAAGTGATTGTCGTTATGAAGTCTGGTTTGTTAAGTATAATCCTCAATCAGATAAGAATTCTAAAGAATGGGTGAAACTTAATGAAAACCTAGTTTCTATTTAGAAGTTTCATAGCTCAGTCATAGCTCAGCCTGATTTACAATCTGAAAATGTATAATTCTGGAAAATGCTGGAATAATTAGTGAAACATAATTTGACCAGTGATTTTATTTTCTAGGGAAACTGTAGTGAACAATAACACGAGTGGGGACAATCGAGTGTATTCGACACGAAATTACACAGCATGTCAATCAAATCTGAGAACCATATAGTAAATAGTTAATTTGCAAAATATTAATCCATCGTCTCAAACTTCACTGTTTCTTTTTCAAATATCAGTTCATTGTCTCACATTTCATTGTTCATGCATTTTCATACCATATACGTTTCGTTTCCGTTCTTTCCTTATCGATCTTCTGCTGAAATGCACTCGATGCCTAACCACAGTTATACACTACTTATATGGATATAAGTAACTCACACCACAAAACTAACATTGATCAAATAACAGCTAATTAAAGTTGATTGTATAGAATATCGAATTTTAGCTAAATGATTTAATGTTATTCTGCTAACCATAGAAACTGACATTTGTTAACGTGATTCTATATGATTACATCTATGTATTTTATTCTGAAATGTTCCAGTCTAAGATAAAAGAAGAACAATATTCAATGATTTGTAATTTTTCATTAGTTCTCCAATTTGATGTCAGTTTCATTTTGATCATTGTTTTTTATATTATGAGATTTCAATACTAAAATTTATTCTTCTTTATTTGAATAAGAGAAAAAAAGGCTAAAAATAAAAGGTTAAGACACAATCCATATGAACCAAGAATATTCTTTTCAATGAATTTCTCATCAGCTTCTACAATTATCTCATTATCCATATTAATAATCCATAAGATTGACCAGATTGAAGGCAGAGTACATCATTTGGAATTGTAATACGTGAATCATGGATTGTTGTTTATCATATATCAAATCAAATCAAATCGTTGATGTTGGAGCTGACTAATGTGAAGTTTTTGATTGAGATCATGAACCAATTGATGTTAGACCATTATTGACGAAACGGCCGTCCAGTGCTTCCAGGTTTTCAATGGTGGTCTAACATCAATCGGTTCATGATCTCAATCAAAAACTTAACAATCTCTACAACCCCTATACTGATAATATGAAGTTGTTGACTTGAATCAGATTATAAATGAAATGAAATTGTGGGATCAATAATCATCAGAATAAATATGGTCAACATGGAGTGAGAGAAAGAGAATAATGGAAGAAAAATCAGAGACTACGTAATATGTAGAATAATATGAATTAGGTCAGATATAGTAGATAGGGCTGGATGCTAAATAAATATCTCAAAAAGGTTATCAAATGAAATAACATTTATTTATACCTATCTACTATATCTGACCTAATTCATATTATTCTACATATTACGTAATTTCTGATTTGTAATTATATTATTCTTTCTCACTTTAGATTGACATATTTATTCTGATGATTATTGATCCCACAATTTCATTTCACTTATAAACTAATTCAAGTCAACAACAATAGGACGAAACGGCCGTCCAGTGCTTCAAGGTTTTCCATGATGGACTCATGATCTCAACCATTGAAACTTCATATTAGTCAGCTCCAACATCAACGATTTGATTTGATTTGATTTGATTTGATATATGACAAACAACAAACCGTGATTCACATATTACAATCTCCAAATAATGTAGTCTGCCTTCAATCTGGTCAATCTTATGGATTATTAATATGGATAATGAGATAATTGTAGAAGCTGATGAGAAATTCATTAAAAGAATATTCATCATTCATATAAATTATGTTTTAAAAAGTTGAAAGAATTTCTTTTTTCTTTTTTGTTTTTGTTTTACCTGAATATATGATTTACCTTTGTTTAGCCATATCTCTTTCCCATAATTTTCGCAATTTTATAAATTTCCATGATTTAGCCATTCGTCCAAAACGTTTACGATGATGATTTCGTCGAATACGTTTTTTCAATTTTGATTTTTCTTTAAGTGGATATGAATTCGTTTGATCTGAATCAGAATTATCTGTTGAATAACCTGAATAAGCCATAATGATTAATAATAATAATAATAATAATGATAGTAATTAACAATGAACAATATTGCTTTGAAGTAAATAAAGTATCCTGAATTAGTGTTTAGTAAGTGTTCCACGTCAAGATACAATTACTTTTGAAATGTGCCCGTCAATTAGATTAATTGATTATTGGTATTAGTGTAGCTAAAATCATTCAGATCTTCATCATCATCATAACCATAATGATAATAGTGATGACAAGTTTTATTATTATTATTATTATTATTATTATGAATAATAAACCAATTATGAACTTGACAATAGTAATAACTGGGTAATTTAATGAATATTGATTGGTCAACATGAATATGTATGTGTGTATTACAATATCATCTGGATTAGATCAAGTTGACCAGTAAAGATATTTATATTTCAATGAATTAGAATAATGATTAATGAGAATCAATTACTTACTAACTGAAATATTTGTTTATTAGTAAGCTGTAATATAAACAATATCACTGTTAGCCATTATTCATCTTTGCTTATAATACTTCTAATTTAAGGCAATGTCGAGGCAATACGCACAGTATGCACATATGCCAATAAGAGACTGATCAATTACAGTCCTAAATATCAATGGGAAGATTCAAGTAAAACAATACCAAGTGAATTAAACTTCATCCCTTTGTACAAGCAAGTGGCTATCAGGATTCAGTAGCTAAGTGGATAACGCGATGGCGTTTGAAACGAACGGCACTGAGTTCAAGTCCCAGAGTGTATATTAACCCTGAGATGCAGGTATATCCAGCTGACGAGTCCTAAACAGGATGGAACGCGCGTCCAAGATCCCACTGCTAGCCATTATCCATCTTTGCTTATAATATCATAAATATTTTAGTATTTATAACTATGCTAAATTTAAGTCACTAAATGTATATTACATTTCTGTAAATGTTATATTAGAGCTTTTTAAAATTCTTTGAAGATATCTATAGATACTAGGAGAAAGCTAAAAACTATTTTGCCCAAAACAACGAACAATGGAAACTTGTCTGAAACATTCAGAAATATTCAGGATTGTATCACATTCTCATTAGGTGACTATTAATTTATTTTATTGAAACCAATGTATTTCTTGAAGCTTTCATAATGTTAAGACCATCCCTATATTAACAAATACTCATGCTTTATGTGCATAAATTAAACTTAAAATGAATCAAGATTTTCCAACTTCCCTAGGTGGGCTCTCTGTATCCACCGATCCGGTTAAAGCGCCGGACATTCGCTTTTCAATTTGGTAAACAACATCCCCGCCACGAGAAGGCAGTGAGTAGGACTTCGCTGGCAGATGCTATATACATGTGGCCATGTGAGAGCAATAAGAGGAGGAGAGTGGACTCACCCTACCCTCGGCCGTATCGGGGTGTTTGTTAAACTTCAATTGAAGCGTTTCATGTTTCCTACTTCCTCTTTGCCGTTCGGGGTTCGTTTGTAGGAATAAACTGACAAACTAGCAGTCAGTTAGGAAGTTATTATCAGTTGTTTCAGTACCAAATATGTTATTCTCCGTGTTGGGATATTCAGAAAAATATCCCAAAAATTATCCTGTTAAGTCAAATGCTATCCTTGGACTTGAAATGGTATCATTTTCTTCTTGGTCAATATTTACTTCACGTGTCGTTTCCCTACTGGTCAATATTTATTTCACGTGTCATTTTCCTGTTGGCCAAGTATTGTACAAATGTTATTTTCTATTTTATGGTACGCTGCGGTCTGCTTGATTGGTATATAAACAGAGTATGTTTGAAATATAATGATTCGTATCTCAGAGGCTGAGAATTGCGTTCTGGACTCGACTGGCTGGGCTAGACAGGGAAGCAGGGCCAATCGGTACTCTAGGTCGTTCTTACGTGTTTTACGCGTCTTTGGTCCAATCGATAACTCGCTGCGCTCTAATCTGCAGTCCCAGTTATAACACTCCGTCAGTTATTTTCCAGTCGTGCAGTTGCTACAATAAATGTAGCTGATTTTGATTTAGTTTACTTATTAGTTTTATATGTTAACCGTATATACTGATGTGGTTTTTTTAAAAGATGTAGTTCAATCGCATATGATATCAGAGAGTTACCTGCAGGTGGTATTAGAAGATAATCATATAAAATTATGAATTTATCTAAATTAAACCTCAGCTGATTGGTTTGAAGCTTATGCAAGCTCAGGGAAACTTGAACGTCATGGATATAACTTCGTGTGAGAAGTCCCATACTAGGACTAAGCAACTGTCCTATGCTTCCTAGATTTTAGTGTTCATCTAACCAATATCAATTAGTGATGTCAGTTATAAAATAATTAATTGGAAATGTCTCAAAGAAATTCCCAAGAGACGAAAATATTTACATTTTATACAGTTTCTTTGCTTAGTGATCACTTCATGAGGTAGCGGATGTTCATTGACTGGAATCGTTAAGATATGTACTACATATGCATAACCAACTTCTACTTTGGTCCGCGATTCTTGCCAGTACTGGAGTAGGCTGAAAAAAAGTTAGGAAAGCCAAATCAAAATGTGGTATCAGTCCATGAAGATAATGACTGTTAGTTTAACTCACGTTAGTAGATGCAGACTGCCTAATTGGGGCTAGTCTGATAACCACAATCAAACGTTGGAGACTTTGTGTGAAATAGCGCAGAATTGCTCGCAATAGAGTTTGCATTCACAATTTCTCCCCCATTCGATTTTTGATTCCAGTACCCCTTTATACACACCTTTCACTCCGTCCTTTGAAACCATATTTACAAGGTTTCTCATTATCGTTACTTTTATAGTATTTCTGTCGCTTTACAATATATTATGTTTATTTACGCTCTCTGTGTTAATGTGATATGGCAACATAGGCTAATGGACGTCTGTTCCAGGCTCTATATTGATAATATCTGTCTGTGTTTGCCATGTTTAATGGAAATTTTGATCAAAAGAATTATATGGTAGTAATTTACTTTCAGAACTGACCTAATAAAAAGTGGGCAATACTGAGTAACTATTCACTAATATTTTGGCACATTTCATGATAACTGAATCAACAGATATTCTTCAATTTGTATCTATAAAATAATTACAGTTTCGGATCAGATAATTGTCTAGTAGTTTCCGATTATCAATGGCTTTTTAAGCTTTTTCTAGTTTACGATAATAAATAATGTTCGAATTGGTAACATCATGTAGAATCATAACTTCATTTGAAAATATGAAATGGCAAAAAAATACTTCATTGAATAATTAGCGTTTTTTTCAGCGGGTTACTCTTCTACGGGATGGGGTCGCTAACCTCATGCCCAACTCTTCTGTTTTACCTGGGCTTGAGATTGGTAGTAACTCTAGAAGTTCTACTGGCGGAGAAACTTCATTGAATAATGAAGAAGATTATTATACTTGTTCACGGTCTTATTCGCTAATCAAATATAGTTTGTCAGTTAGTTTTAAATGGTGGTAGGAAGATTTCAAGCTTTTTCTGTCATTTTTTTATTACTGAATATGAGATACCAAAAATGAACATTTTGCTTTACAAAAAAAGATATTGCAGTTTTGTTCTTTCTCAAAATACAAAACATTTCATTCAACACAGCTAAATTGTAAAAACCACGAGATTTAAGATTAAGACCATATTTGTCTTGCACTCGAGCGCTTAACCACTAGATCACTGAGCCAGCCGGCATCCAATGGTGTTAATGTCTAACTTCAACTAATCCACGAAATTGAGCGACACATCCACCATTGTCATCAGTGAGTTACTATCTCACAACAGACCTAGTTGAACTCCACTGATCACTGCTTCTCACTAAAACTCCAAGATATACCTCTTGAAGCCAGTCACTAGTGAGCATATATTGATTAGTATAAGAAGGGGTTTTGTGGAGATTGTAGTAATTTCATTATTGGGACTGGTAACATATGCGTGAGTATAAACGTTATTATGTGATGAAATCAAGGTTTTGGAAAACATGACAGCTGAATAACTACTAGTCAAATTTTAGATGATTTGGAAATTTGTTTGACATAGATATCATGTTTTACAGGATTTACTAACAGTTTAATACTTATCACTCTTTCAACGATCTGAACTCATAATTCTTAGTATCACTGTCAAAGATTTTAATGGTTGTTTTTTCAATCGTAGAATTGGGTAAATGGTTATCCACTAGGTTATCGAGTTCTGGATTGAAATCTCACTTTATTTATTTTGGTTCACATCTTATTTTATTATTATAGACAATAAATATTAAGATATGGTTGGACATTTATTCTTCTTAGCACAAACGACTCTATTATTCAATATATAATGGTGTAAAAATAATGATATAATGAAACTTTAAACTAATCGATTAGTATTTTTTAACTAAAGTAGGTTACTGGCTACCAGTGGAGTTCAGGATGCTCATTTAGTCTTATTTGAGACTAGTCAGTTAGATGTACTCGCAAAACCCATGATGGTGTTGACAGAGGGGCTCAAACCCAATGCCCTTTGTTGCAAATGACTAGTGCGTTATATACTGAGCTACTGAATTCATGTAGATTCTAGCCTATGCAGAAAAGATTGTCTTAAGGTTCAGCGTTAGTGGCATATTGTTGATAGTAAGGACTGAAAGTAATCAGTTTCTTTCGATGTACGTTCATCCTCACTGGATTGCCTTGATATTACAAGATATTCATAAACAGGCAAATTCAGCAGACAACTCCTATTTAGAATGAAATAAACCCCATGAAATACACTGAAAGCCAATATACAACTCCACTAAAGAAGGTATTGGTAAATATCTGACGATTTCGAAGCAGTCCACTCAGGATGTATGTATACCTAAAGAGACTGAACAGTTATTGTCCTTAGGATAAAAAATTGATGCACAAAGGAATTAACCGAGCAATAGCTTTAATTATTGATTTTCATATTGGCCACACTCCTTTACAAAGAATGGAATGAACTGAGAAAGCTGCAATAAATTTTGAACACTGATCTAGTAAACTATAAAATTGGTTATGATGGAGTATTAATGTTTTGTGAGGATAAGTAAAACATCTTTAGCTTATTTATACTACTGATTATTTTATAAGTAACAAAATAAATTCTTTCAAAACATCGTGTACACTGATTAATTTTCAGTGTGGTCACTGCTTTA